CACACATACACACACACACTGCCCCTCCACTAACCCCCAGAGAGCCTTCCAGTCTCATGTCCAGAAAAGCAGTAGACTCCCAAAGCGAGGAGCAGAGTGGCGATGATATCAGTGATGACGATGCCAGCCAGGGTGGCCGAGTCCAGCTCCACACAGTTCTGGCACACTGTGGGGGAAGCAGGGAGGGAGGCGATGGAGAGGGTCTTCAAGGCCAGGCAATCATCTCTGCTTCCCAGGGCAGCCCTAGGATCTCTCATGCCCAGATCCAAGCTTCGGTAAGAACTCGGGACAAAGGCCTGCTGATGGCCTCTCTGCCGCTGTCTCTGCATTTCAACCCCAGGGTCCCCAGAGCAGAGTCAAGAAATCACCTTAGCTTTGTGGGACCTTAAACAAGGTGGTGGGTCCATCCTGTGTCCCACGCAAGATCCCTGCTGCTCTCTCTCCCACTCTGAGGCCCCCCAAATCCAGATAGTACTGTTACAAGAGGGACCCCAGTTCACAAATAGGATTGATTCACCACAGCCCACTCCAGCCAGAAAGCATCACACCCAGAGGCCCCTTCCTTTCCAACCCAAGGGTCCCGAAGGCACGTACTTCGATAATAGACTTGCAGATCGGGGACTTTTTTGGCCGAATCACCTGCTGTTTCACACGAATACTTTCCTCGTGGATCCAAGATGCGTTTTCCCAAGTTCAGTGTCTTATTTTCTGCTAACAGTATTCCCTTTGTTCCCTCCATACACTTGATGCTGGTATTGCAACTCAAAAACACACTGTCTTCCAGCTCCTCGACGTGTATGCGGTCGGGGCTCACTAAGGGAAGAAATACAACAACAAAAAAAAAAAAAAAGAAGAAGAAGAAGAAATTATCAATTCCCAACTTGAATCTCACTGGGATTAAACATGACAATAGGTCTGATCTGATTTCATCATCATTTAAAAAATCATCTATTATTTTTCACTTTATGTTTGTGTGGGAGCAAACTGTTGAAATCTTTACTTAATGTATGCTAAACTGATCTTCTGTATATAAAGAGAATCGAAAATGAATCCTCATGTGAATGGAAGGGGAGAGGGAGTGGGAAAGGGGAGGGATGAGGGTGGGAGAGACGATATGGGGGGGAAGCCATTGTAATCCATAAGCCGTACTTTGGAAATTTATATTCATTAAATAAAAGTTAAAAAAAAAAAAGATGAGGACCTTCAACAGACACCAAAACTGCCATTAGCTTGACTTTGAACTTAACCTGAGAATTGTGAAAATACAAATATATGTATACAAAAAAAAAAAAAAAAGAAAGAAAGAAATACAACAGCTGAAGAAGCTCTGTGGCCGCACTGAACCCCTTGTCCTGTTCAGGCTCATACTTAAGGACCGCTTTCCCAGTCCAGGACAGCTTTTGGCTCCAGTGAGAGGGACAGAAGTCACAAGAGAAAGGCTTTGGGAAGCTCGCCATGAATTGCTGGGACCAGGGAGGACCCGAGGTTGCAGAGCAAGGAAATGACAGGTCTTGAGGGATTTGGGGCAAAAGAAAGAGCCATGGAGCTGGCTTGACCCAAGAACCTTCTTGGAACTGAGTTCAGACCACTGATTAGAAGTGGGAGGAGGAGCGGTGCTGTGGCATAACAGGTAATGCTGCCTCCTGTGATGCCGGCAGCCCATCTGGGTGTTGGTTTGTGTCCCTGCTGCTCCACTTCCAATCCAGCTCTCTGCCAGTGGCTGAGGGAAATCAACAGAGGATTGGCCCAAGTGTTTGGACCCTAGCCATCCATGTGAGAGACCCGGATAAAGATCCTGACTCCTAGCATCAGCCTGGCCCAGCACTGACCATTGTGGCCATCTGGGGAGTGAGCCACAGATGAAAGATCTCTCTCCCTGTGACTCTGACTTTTTTTTTTTACAGGCAGAGTGGACAGTGAGAGAGAGAGACAAGTTGAAAGGTCTTCCTTTGCCGTTGGTTCACCCTTCAATGGCTGCCGCGGCCAGCACACCGCGCTGATCCAAAGGCAGGAGCCAGGTGCTTCTCCTGGTCTCCCATGGGGTGCAGGGCCCAAGCACTTGGGCCATCCTCCACTGCACTCCCTGGCCACAGCAGAGAGCTGGCCTGGAAGAGGGGCAACCAGGACAGAATCCAGCACCCCGACTGGGACTAGAACCCGGGCTGGTGCCGCTAGGCAGAGGATTAGCCTATTGAGTCACGGTGCTGGCTCTTTTCTTTCTTTCTTTTTTTTTTTTAAGATTTATTTATTTATTTGAAAGGCAGAGATACAGAGAGGCAGAGGCAGAGAGAGAGATCTTCCATTTGTTGGTCTACTCCCCAGATGGCTACAACGGCCAGAGCTACGCTGATCTGAAGCCAGGAGACAGGAGCTTCTTCCAGGTCTCCCACGCGGGTGCAGGCACCCAAAGATTTGGGCCATCTTCTACTGCTCTGCCAGGCCAGAGCCGTGGATCAGAAGTGGAGCAATTGGGACTCCAACCGCACCCATATGGGATGCTGGCACTACAGGCAGTGGCTTTACCCACTATGCCATAGTGCTGGCCCCAGGACTTCCAGTTTTAAAAGCAGGAAAACTGGGATGACTTGGCATCCTACTGAGTATGCAATAACATACCCTTCCCCTCCTGCTCGACCTAAAGTTCATTTTTCTTTTAAAACATTTGTGAGTGCTGGTTCCTGGCTCCATGTGGTAACACAATGATAGCCTCAATGGCCAGGAGTCCCAACCCAGAGTCTGTGTGCCCTAGACAGAGCAAGTGCACACAACTCTGCTCCTCTAAGCAGCCCTTGGCTCAGGCATACACATACACTGAATCATTTCCTAGAGCTCCCTGGCCTATGGTCTTAGAGAGACACCAAAGTCAATACGTGTTCCTAGCCAGAGTCGGTCAAAGACAAATGGCTGTTTCCCCAACCGTGTGCTCCACCCAGCCTTGCCCTCCTGACACCCTGGGGTGCCGGGTGAATTGCAGCCAGAGATGAGAACCACCTTCACATGGTACTGTCCCTCTCAGTCCCTGCCCCGCAGAAGCCTCTTATACCTTGAGGAAGAAGGATAACCAGTATGAAGCCAGCCAGAAGCCCGCCGTGTTCCATCTTCCGGGGGAATTCATCCAGTAGAGAGAGCCAGGTCACGGAACCATCAGCCAGAGTGAGAGCTGCCCTCCCCAGCTGACTGACGGAGACTGAGAATGGGGGAGGAACTAGAAGACGCCTGCCTCTCTGCTGTCTGCCACAGTGATCGGGGCTGTCATCAGGGCTAGGAAGGAAGCAGGTGCAAACTGCTATCTCCAAGCAGGGGGCCTGGCGGTGAGGGGAAAGAAGGGAGAACAGAGAATGTGGACAAGCTTGCCTGGACTTCCAGGAAGTGACAGGGATTTGGATCTTCAGCAAGGACTTCCGGGTGTCTACTGACAACGTGGCATTTACTCACCACCGAAAAACTGCCACCTCCCCACCTTGCTGAAGGAAGCAGTGGGCCTGTTGCATAAAGCTGGGTGCCTCCTGCTCCTGGTCTTTCTCAGGACCCTTGACCACCTGAGATGCCAGATCAAGCAGCTTCTGGTCAGAGCAAGCCAGGCATTAGTGCCCTCCCGTCTCTACCCGGAGACTTCAATACTGGCCCCAATACTGCCTTCCCAAGAGTCCTGGGCCAGTCAGGGAATTCTTCAAAACTTCGCTCACCCAGTATTAATAGGATTTGAACAAATTATTTGCATGGCTCCTGACACAGCGTATGTGCTCAATAAGAGGTAGTTATTATTAACAACATATCATTGGGGCAGGCATTGTGGCAGGTTAAGCCACCACTTGGGATACCCACATCCCATATTGGAATGCCTGGTTTGAGCTCCAGTCTCTCCACTTCTGATGTAACTTCCTGCTAATACATCCTGGGAAGTCATAGATAATGGCCCAAGTTCCTGGGCCCCGGCCAACCACATGGGAAACCTGGATGGAGTTGCTGGATCCTGGCTTTGATCCTGGGCCAGTGCCGCCATTGTGGGCGTTTCGGGGAGTTAACCAACAGGTGGAAGATCTCTCACTTGCTCACTTGCTTGCTTTTGCTCTGCCTTTCAAACAAACAAATAAATAAATAAATATGTTATTTACAAGCAGAATTGAGCCTCCCTGAAAAGCGTGGACTTCTTCCCCAAGGACCTGTGCAGATCCCAAACTCTCCATGCTGCTGTAGTTGGACTGTGATATCCCTGAGCACAGAACCATGTCTGTCCTGCTCGTCACCATCTCTGTGCCTGCAGCGTGGCAAGAAGTCTCTGCCGGTTCTTGTGGCCTTGTTAACTGGTGTGCTGAGAGCATGGGGGCGTAAGATCCTGAAGACTCAGTCCTGCCCTGGCCCCTGGACATGCACTACTGGTCTGTCTTGTGGGAACTGTCCCACCTACTCCTTCCCAGATGGATACCTCTTTGATGACCTCAAAAGAAATTTGAAAAAGTTCCTGGATGAGAGGCTGGTATTGTGGTGCAATAGGATCTCATACTGGAGCGCTGCTTGGAGTCTCAGTTGCTCAGCTTCTTATCCAGCTTCCTGCTGGTGCTCCTGGAAAAGGCAGCAGAAGATGGTCCAAGTACTTGGGTCCCTGCAACCCATGTGGGAGATCCAAATGGAGTTCCTGGCTCCTCGCTTTGGCTTGGCCCAGCCCCAGCTGTTGCAGCCACTTGGGTAGTAAGTCAATGGATGCCTTTAAAATAAATAAATCTGTTTTTTTTTAAAAACTCTTGGATGAAAACCTGAACTCAGGCAGGTTTCATTCAGAGCTCCATCCTCAAGCACCTGAATCTTGCCCAAGTTCATTAATTCAGGCAGCAACAATCAGCAATAAGCAGCAACAGGTGGCAGGGACGTTGATCTTCCTCATGAACAAAGCAGCCCAGGGCCACCACCCTCCCAGCATCAAAGTGGTGGGCTGTGCAAGCAGAATCTCTGTGTGGGAATCCAGCACTCTCCCACTTCCTCCCCACCACCTCCACCTGCCCTCCTAAACGGAAAAGCAAGAGACATCTGCACCTGCAGCCCAGCTGAAGCCCCGGCTGCCCACGCTGGGGCCAGAGGGTGGAGGCCCCGGGCCCTTGCCTTCTCTCAGAGGCCACAGCCCGCAGCAGGCTGGGTGGAGCCTTCCTAGCTGCTGCACAGGCTGGCTGGCGGCTAGGGCTGCGCCACGCTTCAACAGCAAGAGGGAGACGGACATGGAGCAGCAGAAGGGTCTGGCTGGCCTCATCCTGACTGTCTTTCTCCTTCAAGGTAAGGGCCTTCTAGGGGCTTGGCAGCCGGGGAAGGGCAATAGGGTAGAGGCCATCACAGAGACAGCAACATGGAGATCCAGCCTTGAGCCCGCCTCAATTGTCATCTCAGAGTTCAAGGAAGCAAGGGCAAAAATGAAGCCTCTGACTGTTCTGTGCCAGAGAGAAGCAGAAGCAGTGTCTCAGAGGGGAGATACGATCCTTTTGTCTAAGAGATCAAAACAGGGGACTTGAATCAGAGAGAGGACCCTGCTGCCGCCATCTTAGGTTTTGATGTAGCCCAAAAGGGCACAGAGTCGGGAAGCTGAGAGGAGCAGGTGTGTGTTCCCTCTCCCAGGGCTGGGGTCGGCAGTAGGCCTCAGAAGCACTCACTTGCTCACTTGCTCAGTTAGTCAACTGGTCAGCAAATATGGGTGAGACCCTAACGTGTGGCCAGGGACACGTAAAGATGTATAAAAAGCTGCTGCTCTGATAAGCTCATTGTCTAATTGAAGAGCCAAGTTTCAATGTCGCCGGACTGAGTGTAGGGCACACTATAAGGTGCCTGTGTGAATACTCAATTGGAAATATCCAACGGGAAGTAGATGGAGTGGGTTGGGGTCTGGAGTCTGGACCTGCTGGGGGAAACTGAACTCATGAAGTTGATGAAATACCACAAACACTGTGTGAGATGTGAGGAAGATGGGGCTGGGAGTGGAACTGTGAGGACTCCAACTTGTTTTCTTCCTGTTTGTTTGTTTGTTTGTTTTTTGAGAAGTGACAGACAAGAAGGGAGTGCTCCCACCAGCTGATTCACTTTGCAAATACCAACACTGGGGACAGCAGGTCAAGCCACCCTATGTATCCAATACGGGAACGCTGGTTCAAGTCCTGGCTGCTCCACTTCGGATCCAGCTTCCTGTTAATGTGCCTGGGAAGGCAGCAGATAATGACTCAAATACTTGAGTCCCTGCCACCTAGGTGGGAAACCAGCCTGGAGTTCCTGGTCCTGGCTCTTGGTTTCAGCATGATCCAGATCTGGCTGTTGCAGCCATTTAGGGAGTGAATCAGCAGATGGAAGATTGATCTCTCTCTCCCCCTCTCTCCCTCTCTGTCCCTCTCTCTCCCCTTTTCCCTCCTTCCCTCCCTTTAAAACCAGCAAACAAACAAATCTTTTCTAAAATGTCTATAATGGCTGGGGCTGGGCCAGGCAGAAACCAGGAGCTGAGAACTCAACCCAGGTCTCCCACAAGGGTGGTAGGACCCAATTATGTGAGGCATCATTGCTGCCTTCCAGGTCCCACGTTATCAGAAAGCTGGAGGTAGGAGTGAGAGACTGATGTCAAACCCCAGCACTCGAATGTGGGACATTAACCCTTGGGCCAAATACCTGCCCTAGGTTGCCAACTTTTAAGGAGCAGCTGGGAGGGGGAGAGAATCTCTGGAGAGAGATAAAAGAATGACAAAAGGGCTGGCATTGTGGCACAGCAGTTTAAGCTACTACCTGCAATGCCAGCATCCCAGCTGAGTGCTGGTTCTTGTCCCAGCTGCTCCACTTCTGATCCCACTCCCTGCTAATGCACCTGAGAAAGCAGTGGAAGATGGTCTACATGCTTGGGTTCCTGCATTGATGTGGATACCTGGATGAAGCACTTGGCTCCTGGCTTCAGCCTGGCCCAGCCCTGGCTGTTACGACCATTTGAGGAGAGAGCCAAATAATGGAAGATCTGTCTCTCTCTCTCTCTCTCTTTCTCTCTTTCTCTCTTTCTCTCTCTCTCCCCCTCTCTCTTCTACTCTCTCTGTAACTCTGACTTTAAAATAAATAAAGTAAATTTTAAAAAGAACTTGAAATGTCAAAGAGAGTCTACTAATACAAGAATATATAGAAAAGTTAAATCTGTAGGATTTGGCAAAATAAAGGGCATGGGTAATTTAGAACAATTTTGGCAGGAGTGTGAATGGGAGTCAAATGGAAATGAGCAGCAGGTGCAGGTCAGGTGTTGAAGAGCAGCAAGTGCAGACTGTTCTTTAGAAAAACTGGATGGGAAGGGAGAAGAGATGCGGTGGTAGGTGAAGGGGGAAGTAGAGTCTGCGGAGAGTGTTTTTGAGAGGGAGGAAAACTTGAGCACATTTCTAGACTAAGAGAAGAGAGTGAGGAGCAAGCTCCTGGAGCTGATGTTGGAGTTGAGAGCAGAGCCAAGGGTAGAGAAGGGAGGGTGATAATTATACCCTCTGAGTCTAAGCGGGGGAAAGTCAGCTAAGGGAGAAAGAGCTGTAGAAGAAAGCATCCACGTTCTTATAAAGATGGACCGGAGGCAATGCTACTTCCTGAAACACAGCTGGCTGATGGCCGAGTAGGACACCTGAAGGAGGCAATGAGCATTTAGAATTCTTTCTTTCTTTCTTTTTTTTTTTTTTTTTAGAAAAACAACATTTATTTATTTGAAAGACAGAGTTATAGGGAGGGAGAGGCAGAGGCAGAGAGAGAGAAAAGTCTTCCATCCGTTGGTTCACCCCCCAATTGCCAGCACAGCCAGGGCTGGGCCAGACCAAAGCCAGGAGCCAGGAGTTTCATCCAGGTCTCCCACATGGGTGCAGGGGCCCAAGCATTTGGGTCATCTTCCACTGCATCCCCAGGTCATCAGAAGGGAACTGGATCAAATGTGAAGCAGCCAGGACTCAAACTGGTGCTCATATGGGATGCCAGCCCTGTAGGCAGTAGCTTAACGGGCTACACCACAGCGCTGGCCCCTAGAATTATTTCTGAGAAGAGAGGGAAGGAGAGCCAGTGGGGGGCAATGCCGGACGCTGGGTGGGGCAGCTGGAGTAGTGGAAAGAGCATTGGGCCGAGGAACAGAGACTCAGGGCTCCAGCCCCAGCTCAGCCACCACTGCATTGTGTGACCCTCTGGGCTCAGTTCTCACACCAGTTAACCCAGAAACTCCACTAGAAGAGATCTCAGTCCTACGAGGAAGTTGCACTCAGGTAAGCAAAATTAGATGTCACTGAACAATTTGATTTCCTCTTTTTTTAAAAAAAAAATAAAGTATGGGTTTTTTGCCATATCATTTTGTTTTCTTTTTTAAATGACTTATTTATTTATTTGAAAGGCAGAGTTGCAGAGAGACAGAGGTAAAAAGAGAGAGAGAGAGAGAGAGAGAGAGAGAGAGAGAGATGTCTTCCATCCACTGGTTCATTCCCCAGATGGCTGCAATGGCCATAGCTGGGTGGATCTGAAGCCAGGGTCCGGGAGCTTCTTCTAGGTGCCCCATGCAGATGCAGGGGCCCAAGCATTTGGGCCGTCTTCTACTGCTTTCTCAGGTCATAGCAGAGAGCTGGATTGGAAGTGGAGCAGCCGGGACTCAAACCAGCACCCAGATGGGATGGCAGCACTGCAAGCGGTGGCTTTACCTGCTATGCCACAGTGCCAGCCCCTAGATTTCCTTTCTTATGGAAAGTTAGGAGGAAGAGTCTCTGTACCCTCCCCTGGCAGCCAGGTGGTCAGAGAAAAGGGCTAGCAAGAAATCTGTTTTAACTGTTAGTCTTGACTTTTCTCCCCCACTCACTCATTTCTTTGCTCATGCATTCATTCAACAAACATAAAGCTCCTATCATGTTCCGGGTGCTGTGCTGGGTACCATTCATGAAAGCTTAGCCTTGCACAAGTTCTGAGTCAGTTAACTCCTTCCAACTGTTTGCAGCACCCTTTGACTCATGCCTACCTCTCCTACCACACACTCTAGCCACACCACCTCTTTGTCCTTTTCCAAGTGCGTCTTTTTGCTTGGCTATTCTTTCTGCTTAGAATGACTGTGTGTCTGGTGAGTCTCTACTCTTCCTCAAGGTCCACTTTGTCACAAACCCTTTGGAAACAGCACCTCGCTCTTCACATCACCACCCTTTTATCCCACAATGCCTGATCATAGCAGGTCACAACAGGGCCCCGTGAATGTGTGGACTGAATCCAACTGTACTGAATTGCAGTGCTAGGTCCTGTAGTATTTCTACCATGCAACTCTACTACAAGTTTGGAGACAGATTTGAGAGCTAATTGAATAGCTAGCTTTCCCTGGGACATCCTGGGTTTCTACCAGAAATGGATCACCAGGGATGGAGATTTTGGGAATAACTCATCTCTAAAAGGCTTTTAGACATTGTGACAGAGAGGGTTAAGCTGCCACTTGGGACTCCAACATCCCATATCAGAGTGCCAATTGGAACTCTGCCTCCTCTGCTTCTGATTCAGCTTCCTTCCGGTGCATCCTGGAAGACAGTAAATAATGACTCATGAGAGGAATATTCCACAAAATATTATTTAATAGAGAAATATTCCATTTGTTGGTTCACCTCACAAATGACCATGACAGTCAGTTCTGGCCTGCACTGAAGGCAACAGCCAGGAACTCCATCCTGGTCTCCCATATGGGTGACAGGAGCCAAAACACTTGGTCCATCTTCCACTGCTTTCACAAGCACATTAGCAGGAAGTTGGATCAGAAGCAGAGCAGCAGAGAATCAAATTGTCACTCCAATATGGGATGCTAGCATTATAAGCAGCAGCTTAACCCACTGTGCTAAAATGCTAGCCCCTCAAAAGAGTGATTTCAAAAAGTTTAGAAGACTTTAGCTAGAGTACACTCACTCCCAGCCAGGGCCTCGACTGCTAAAGGAGCAGACCTTTCTGGACCATATGGGCAATACCAGTATGTATACTGCAATACAGTTCTGAAAATTGAACCCCTCAGAGTTGTGTCAGACCCCACCGGGCCAGGGATGGCCCCCAAAAGATTGCCCTCACTTTAAATGCCAGGCACAACAGCAGGCATTTCTAGACTGTTCATACTTCTGACAAACTGGCCACAAATCCAGAGGGTTCCCATAACCCTCTCATGTTTGATAATTCACTAGAATGACTCAAAGAACTCAGGAAAGCACTTTATCTACTATCACAGTTTTACTATAAAAAATAAAATCTGGGGGTTGGCATTGTGGCATAGTGGGTAAAGCCGCTGCCTGCAATGCTGGCATCCCACATGGGCACTGGTTCATGTCCTGGCTGTTCCACTTTTGATCCAGCCCCCTGCTAATGGCCTGGGAAAAGCAGCGGAAGATGGCCCAAATGTTTTTTGACCCTGCCACCCACACTGGAGACCCAGAAGAAGCCCCACCTCCTGGCTTTGGCCTGGCCCAGTACTGGGCCTTTGTAGCTATCTGCGAAGTGAATCAGCAGATGGAAGATCTCTCACATGTGATCTCTCTCTGTGTCTGTCTCTAACTCTGACTTTCAAAATAAATAAATTTTTTAATAAATGAAATCGGGTCCAGCCAAATGAAGAGACCCATGAAGCAAGGTCTGGGAGCCATCCCGGCACCTTAATGTGTCCACCAACCAAGGTTTTTATGAAGTATCCTTACATTGGCATGATTGATTGGATGGTTGGCCACTTGATTGCACCCGATCTCGAGCTTCTTCCTCCCCACCCCACTCTCAGGACTGATATCACTGGCTTCAAATCCCTGATCCTCTAACTACATGGTTGGTCTTGACCAGCCTCATCTTGAGTCACCTCCTTAGCACAAACTCAGGTGGGGTCCCAGGGTCCACCATCCTTAACAAAGGTGCTGCTATCACTCATAAAATTCCAAGGGCTTAGAAACTTCCTCCCAGGATGCTAGGAGAGAGGCCAAACAGCGCCTTTGTTATCACACAAAATTCCTCTTAGGCTATGATCCAAGGAAGTAGATACGGAGACTATCTGCCCAAGGACTAAGAGCTCTCCTAACCTTGGTCTCAAATGACCATGAGGGCCCTTCCAGGCATCTGAACAACTCCATGCCCAGCTGACCCTCTTTCTTTCTTCTGTCTCTACAGGTACTATGGCCCAGATTAAAAAAGGTAAGGGAAATGGCTGATTTGAATCCTCAAGCTCTGAGGATATTCATAGAAATACAACTTCCTATAACAGTAGTGCTACCAGAACAGTTTAGAAAAGTAGGGATGATAGGTGGTGTTCCCATTGTCAATCAAAGCAGTGGCCTTAACTGCCTCGTCCTTGCAGGAGAAACAAAACCCTAGCAGCAAGGCACTTCTGCAAGTTGGGACCCCTGGACCAGCAGCATTGGCATCACCTGAGAGCACGTTAGAAGTGCAGAATCACCCCCTCCCAAGCACTGCTGAATAGAGCCTGGAGCGCCAGCAAGATCCCCATGTACTCTAGTGTCTTCTCTTGGCTCCTGGGGGCAGGGAGAATTTCAGAGGTAGCATCTATAACGGAACTCTGGCTTTTCCTTTTTCAGAAAATCTTATGATAGAAGTGGATGACAATCGAGATGATGGCTCAGTGCTTCTGACTTGTAAATTGCCAGACAAAAATATCAAGTGGTTAAAAGATGGGCAGGAAGTGAAGTTCCGAAATGTAAGTGGAAATAAGTGGAACCTGGGAAGTAGTACCAAAGACCCTCAAGGAATATATTCGTGTAAAGGAGCAACGAAAAGTTCGGAATCACTCCACGTGTATTTCAGAAGTATGTAATCTCCTTTGGTCTGCTGTTGTGAAATGAAGCAGTATCTGCTGTGCTGGGTGGGCTTTCTGCCCCAGGTGAAGGGGGGGATAGGTGCTGAACAGTGGTATGTTAGCCAGCTCTCTCTCTCTTTTTTAAGATTTATTTATTTATTTGAAAGTCAAGAGTTACACAGAAAGAGTAGGAGAGGCAGAGAGAGAGAGAGAGGTCTTCCATCCATTGGTTCACTCCTCAATTGGCCTCAACAGCCAGAGCTGCACCAATCCAAAGTCAGGAGCCAGGAGCTTCCTCTGGGTCTCCCATGTGGATGCAGGGGTCCAAGGACTTGGGCCATCTTCTACTGCTTTCCCAGGCTATAGCAGAGAGCTGGATCGAAAGTGGAGCAGCCGGGTCTCGAACCGGCAGCCATTTGGGATGCCAATACTGCAGACAGCAGCTTTACCCGCTATGCCACAGTGCCAGCCCCTAGCCAACTTTCTTAATCTCAGCTTGCCCCCTCCCCTTTTAATATGACAAGACAGCTTCTTGAAAAAGCATAGCCAGTCCTATAAAGCCTTGGTTACCTTTGGGTGGGCCCCATGGATTGGAGCAGTTCTGCAACTCCTGTGAATTGAATTGGGGGAAAGTGAGACAGAGGAAATTACAAGCTGGGCAGCATTAAGAATGGAGTGGAGGGCAGTTGAGCCTGGAGGAGGGAAGCTGGTCTTCCTTTAATTACATATGTTCCCTAATAATAAGACCACATGGGCTTCCCAGGGACACCTGGGGGTGGAGGAACATCCAGAAGCATTGAGTTCTTGCTCCCACAATCTGCTCTTGCCACACCACCCACAGAAGGAGGAAGCTGCTGCCTTAGACAGTGGTATTATTGCTGGTAGGCAGGAGAAAAGGGTCTAGGAAAAACAACCTTCGCACCCTGAAGGAGGCATATTTCTCCTTTTCCCACAGTGTGTCAGAACTGCATTGAGTTAAATGCAGCCACTGTTTCCGGCTTTATCTTCACTGAAATCATCAGCATTTTCTTCCTTGCTGTTGGAGTCTACTTCATTGCAGGACAAGATGGAGTTCGCCAGTCAAGGGGTAAAAATAAAAATATTTCTAGATAACAGATGGGACCATCTGAGCCCCTCAGCTTCCTTTCTACCAAAATAGTCCCAGTAGAAGAGACTGAGTTGGCAGGTGCATGGCTAGGTAAGGCTCTGCTTCTACGGGGCGGGAAAAAAAGCACAACTTGGTCACGGCTTATTTACTGATCTCAATGTCCAAGTGTCCCCACACTTTTAAAAAACTCTACATAAATTCCATATACAGAAAGGTGAATCACAAGCACACAGTTCAAAAAAACAATTTAGCAAAGCAAATGCATTCATGTATTCAGTACTAGGTTCAGAAACAGACTATTGTCAGCACCCTGTGGACCCCTCTCTGTCGCTCCCCCTCTTCGTGGAGGAGCAACACAGGACCCTGCGCTGTTCTTTCGTCTGCTCGGCCCTCCCCGGGTTTGCTGCTGGTTCTTCCCGGGTTGGCTATTATCCCTTCCACCTCCGTGGAAGGGCAGTTCCCCCTGGCCACATTCCCCACTTCCGCAGGGGAGCGGCACACCGCCGGCCGGCTTTCTTCGGGGGCTGCACGGGTTCCCTTAGATGTTCCCCATAGATGTTCCTCGTGCATGCCGTCTCTCTCCTCCTTTATAGTCCTCCTCCGCCAATCCTAACTCTGCTGCCCACACGCCGAGCACGCCGCTCTCCTCCAATCAGGAGCAGCTCCTGCAGCTTGTCAAGTTGGTGAGAGGCAGCTGGGTAGAAGCTGTTTACTTCTCTCCCAGCGCCATATTGTGGGAGAGCAGATGCATAGAATAAGTCTTAATTCCAGTAACTCAGTCCAGTCCGGATTGCTCCCCACAGATCCCCCTTTCTTTTTATTTTTTGGCGTTGATACGCGCCTGACTTCGGTGTCCCGCGGCACACACTCTGCTCTACTTGCTAGAGTTGCCACAGGCTCTTACAAGTCCTATCAATCAGGCAAACCGAATCCGGGTCCTCTCTTCGCCATGTTGTGAGGAGGTTTTTAGGTGCTGATGCGTGCCTGTGTTCGGTGCCCTGCAGCGCATGCTCTGCTCTGCCTGCAGGGGCTTACAAGCTCTATCAGGCAAACCGAATCCAAGCCTTCTCATTGCCTTTTTGTGGGGAGGCCTTACTGATGTTAATTCGTGCCTGTCTTCGGTGACCTGCGGCGCATAAGCTGCTAGCCGCCCAGGTGCTCATCGCCTCACTTAATCAGGCAGACCGAATCCAAGCTCTCACATTGCAGTGTTGTAGGGAGGCCTTTCTATTTCTCTATTTCTCTATCTCCGGGCATTCCTATTTCTCCCATTTTACTTCTATCTTCCAGCATTCCTATTTCTCTCATCTTACTTCTAAACTTCTGTTTCTCTTATCCCCGCAGCTTCCCGGCGCCTCGCCCTGCCGGCAGGCTCCGCCCCGAGGCTATTTCTCCGCAGGCTTTCCGGCTGAGCCGCTTCAGCCCGCTTTGCGCGCACACTCCGCAGTCTCGCACTTAACCCTTTCGCGTCTGAACCACGGCCTCGCGCCAGCCCCGTTCCCTATCTATTCACGCCCCATGCTCTCTCTGCACGCGGCGGCTTCCGCGAGTAACACAGCGTAGCTTACGTGTCCGCCACTAGCATTCAATCTGAGTTCCCCGGGCTAGCCTGGCGAATTCAACCCAGCATACGTCTCCGCCCCACGATCTGGCTTCCCGTCCTTTGCTCCCCGGGCTAATCAGACGGATCCCAATCTGGCTTACGTTTCAGCTTCTGGTTTCAACTTTTCGCCCCCCATTCCCGGGCTAACTTGAGAATCCCAAAGTGGCTTTCGTTTCAGCCTCGGCCTGCCCCCCGCGGCTTCAATTTCCCTAACACTTTTCTCTACCCGGTATGTTTCCCCAAACTTTCCTCCAACGATATTCCTCCCTCATTTCTCCTGGCCTCTCCCCACAGTCCGCATCCGAGTCTGTTTGTTCTAGCTTTCACTTTCGCTTTCGACCTTAGAGATTTCTCCCAGCTTCCCCCTGTAGTCCGTATCCGAATCTATGCCTAGGCTTTCAACAGCTTCTTCCGGCACCCTTTTCGTCCGGCTTTTCCCTAGGCTGTTTGCTAATCTCTCTCTCCGGTATTTTCCCAGTTCTTCCCGTTTCTTCCCTCCTAAGTTTCCTATCCGTCCTAGGTTTCCTATCCGAGTCAGGTTTCCTATCCGAGTCAGGTTTCCTATCCGAGTCAGGTTTCCTATCCGAGTCACGGCACCATTATGTCGCTCCCCCTCTTCGTGGAGGAACGACACTAAGCCCTGCCTAGGCTTCATATCCGAGTCACGGCACCATTATGTCGCTCCCCCTCTTCGTGGAGGAACGACACAGGACCCTGCGCTGTTCTTTCGTCTGCTCGGCCCTCCCCGGGTTTGCTGCTGGTTCTTCCCGGGTTGGCTACTATCCCTTCCACCTCCGTGGAAGGGCAGTTCCCCCTGGCCACATTCCCCACTTCCGCAGGGGAGCGGCACACCGCCGGCCGGCTTTCTTCGGGGGCTGCACGGGTTCCCTTAGATGTTCCCCATAGATGTTCCTCGTGCATGCCGTCTCTCTCCTCCTTTATAGTCCTCCTCCGCCAATCCTAACTCTGCTGCCCACACGCCGAGCACGCCGCTCTCCTCCAATCAGGAGCAGCTCCTGCAGCTTGTCAAGTTGGTGAGAGGCAGCTGGGTAGAAGCTGTTTACTTCTCTCCCAGCGCCATATTGTGGGAGAGCAGATGCATAGAATAAGTCTTAATTCCAGTAACTCAGTCCAGTCCGGATTGCTCCCCACACCTCTCCTGCTCACTTCCAGCCACCACCCATCCCCAGGACTAAACACTCTCCTGGCTTCTAACAACAGGAATTCATTTCGCCTGTTTCTTTTTTTGATGTGTGTGGATTCCTGTAGTGAGCACTCTTGCAATACAGCTTATTTTTCTCATCAACATGCATGTTAGATTTATCCATATTCTTGTGTGGAGATGATTCTTATCGCTATTAGTATTGTTTAGTGTAAATATAACCCAACATATTATCCATTCTCTCTTGTGTATGTGTTATTTTGTCTATTTTTTTGTTGTTCAGCTTCAGATAAGCAGACTCTGTTGCCCAATGACCAGCTCTACCAGGTAAGAGAATGAGACAAGAAAGAGGCCTGGCTACAATTAGCGGATATAAAACTCTGGGATTGGGGGACACACTATTTGGAAGCCACTATAGAGATAAGATACTATAGAGAGCATACCAGAAGCTGGGATGGTTAGTCCTTTAGGTAGAACAAATGAAATGAAAAGGACTGTGAGAGGCAGAGGTCAGGACCTAGTGAGGAAAAGGGGGAGCGCACACTGGGAGGAACCCAAAAGCAATGCTATGCAAAGCCTCCATGTTCTTGTCCTGCTCCCACCTCTAGGGCTGCAAAACACACACTCCAGTGCCTCGCATATAAAAAGCTTTCCATGACTATGCATCAAATTAATGAATAGGCGATGGAAAAACAGGAGCTATTGACTGTACTGTCCCTTTCAGCCCCTCAAGGATCGGGAAGATGACCAGTACAGCCATCTTCAAGGAAACAACCTGAGGAAGCACTGAGCTCAGGACATGGCAGGTGGGCTCTTCAACACTACTCCTGAGAAAGTACCACGGCATCACCTGCACTCCCAACTGCCAAGTCTGTCTTCCTGCCCCAAACAGCCAGTAGGATCACACTGTGTGCATGTGTGTGTGTGCACATGTGTGCATGTGGCAGTGGAGGGGTGGATTATGGATGCTTTTTTCTGAAATCACAGGGGCTAGTACTGACTGGCCTAAGAGAATATGGATGCTGCAAATCTCTCAGAACACGACCTCAAGCCATAGAGGTGCTGAGTGTTAATCTTAACCTATGTTAGGGTTTCTAGTTAATTCTTCATGATGAAGGATGGTCCTGTGCATTGTAGGACTTGAAGCAGCATCTCTGGCCTCTGTCCACCAGACGACAGTAGCACCCCAGGTGTGACAACCAAAACCAGTCCAGAACATTGTCAAACTCCCCCTGGGGGCAAAGTCACCTTTATTTAAGAACCATTGGCCTGGGGCCAGCGCTGTGGTGCAGCAGGTTAACGCCCTGGGCTGAAGCGTCGGCATCCCATATGGGTGCTGGTTCTAGTCCCGGCTGCTCCACTTCCAATCCAGCTCCCTGCTATGACCTGAGAAAGCAGTAGAAGATGGCCCAAATCCTTGAGCCCCTGCACCCACATGGGAAACCTGGCTCCTGACTTTGGATCAGTTCAACTCTAGCCATTGCAGCCATTTGGAGAGTGAACCAGCGAATGGAAGACTTCTCTGACTCTACTTCTCTCTGTAACTCTGTCTTTCAAATAAATAAAGATAAATATTAAAAAAAAAAAAAGAACCACTGGTCTATATTACTAACTTTTCAATTAACTGATAAATCAACCAATCAGAAGTTCTGGATCAAAACATTTATTGGAAGTTTCAATCAGAAAGACAGGACTGAAAGTATTAATTGATTTTCTGAACTAATTTCAATTTTCTTTTTCCCAATCCAGGTGTTCTCCATTCCATCCTGTTCTCAGAATCAAGGCAATACATTCTAGAGAGCTCCTAGCAGGGATAGCTTCAGCCTTGAATCCAAACTCAAGGTTCCCCACGGTGACAAATGGAGAAGCAAGGCCATCAAAGTTAATTTTGGCTTTCTTCAAAGTAAAAATGAATATGGTGTTTTGAGAGCGCCACCTATCGGGAAAGTTTTTAAAAGGAAAAGATCAAATAACCCCCTCTGTTTGAATAGTTGTTTTGCTTTAATTCTTATTTCATTTTGGTATAGGTCATAGTTCACATGGTTTAAATATTAACCCTCCACCTCCATCCCCAGCCATCCAGTTGCCCTCTAAAGAGGCAAACTGGTTTCTTAGATATCTTTCTGGAGGTCTTTTCAGCATATATGAGCGAATTCCCAAGTATGTATTCTATCATCCTCTATTTTTCACACAAACGGTATTATACTGTACATCTGGCACTTTTCCCTTGAAGATTGTTTCGCGTAAGTATATAAGGAACTCCTTTGCCAAACATACAGTGACATTATGTAAATCAACTTGAGTATTTTTTTTTTAACAATTAAAAAAAAAAAAGCAGATGGGGGTGGGGAGATACAAGAGAGAGAGATCTTCCAATCACCAATTCATTCCCCAAATGGCCACAACGGTTGAGGCTGGATCAAGCTGAAGCCTGGAGCCTGGACTTAACCCAGATCTCCCATGTGGGTGCAGGGCCCAAGCACTTGGGCCATCCTCACTGCTTTCCCAGATGCATTAGCAGGGAGCTGAATAGGAAGTGGAACAGCCAGAACTTGAACTAAACCCGTGCAGCTTAACCTGCTGTGCCACACCAGTCTCCCACTTGAATGTATTTTATCAGTCATCTACTTAAGTTGATTTCAATCATTTGCTTTAACAACAATGTTGTATAAATGTATAGATACTATTTTTTAAAACAACTGCATTGAAATATAATTTACATGCCATAAAAGTCCATCATTTTTAAGAATTCTACCTGTTCTCAATAGTTTTTAGTAAACTTATCCAGTGGTAGAACCATCTTCAGAATCCAGTTTTAGGGGCTGGCGCAGTGGGTTAACATCCTGGCCTGAAGCACCGGCGTCCCATATGGGCGCCGGTTCCAGTCTCAGCTGCTCCACTTCCAATCCAGCTCTCTGCTGTGCCCTGGGAAAGCAGAAGATGGCCCAAGTCCTTGGGCCCCTGCACCACGTAGGAGATTTGGAAGAAGCTCCTGGCTCTTGGCTCCTGGCTTCAGATCAGCACAGCACCGGTAGTTGCGGCCAACTGGGGAGTGAATCATTGGATGGAAGACCTCTCTCTCTCTCTCTCTCTCTATATATATATATATATATATTTCTCTCTAACTCTGACTTTCAAATAAATAAATAAGTCTTTAAAAAATCCAGTTTTAGACCATTCTTGGGGCCAGCGCTGTGGCACAGCAGGGTAAGCCACCATCTGTGATACCACCATCTCATATGGGCAACAGAACAGTTCAAGTCCCTGCTGCTCCTGCTATTTCCAATCCATACTAATGCATTAGTATTACTAATGCATCTGGGAAAACAGCAGGATGTCTCAAGTCCCTGGGCCCCTGCACCCATGTGGGAGACCTGGATGGAGTTCCAGGCTCCTAGCTTTGGCCTGGCCCAGCCCCCTGCTATTGCAGTCATTTGGGAAGTAAACCAGTAGATGGAAGATCTCTCCCTCTCTCTAACTCTGCCTTTCAAATAAAATTAAACAAATCTAAAAAAAAAAAACATTTCAATGACTCTCAAGATTCTTTGTGTGGCTGGTGCTGTGGCACAGTGGATTAATCCTCTGCCTGCAGCACCTCCATCCCATACGGGCACCAGTTCTAGTTCTGGCTGCTCCTCTTCCAATCCAGCTCTCTGCTATGGCCTGGAAAAGCAGTGGAGGATGGCCCAGGTGCTTGGGCCCCTACACCCATGTGGGAGACCAGGAAGGAAGAAGATCCTGGCTCCCGGCTTCAGACCAGCATAGTTCCGGCCATTGCGGAAATTTGGGGAGTAAACCAGCGGATGGAAGACCTTTCTCTCTGTCTCTTCCTCACACTGCCTGTAACTCTACCTCTCAAATAAATAAATAAAATCTTTAAAAAAAAAAAAGATTCCTTGTGCTGGCTGCACTTGCTCCATGTTCCCATCCTCAACCCCAGGTAACCACTAATCTCTCTCTGTCTCTAGATTTGCCTTTTCTGGACATTTTATGAAACAGAATCATACTACATGGGGTATTTTGTATGCAGCTTCTATCACTGAGCATGTTTTCAGGGGCATCTAAGTTGTAGCAAATACCAATGTTTTGTTTTGTTGCTGAGTGGTGTCCCATTGTATGGCTACCCCACATTTTACTTGTCTATGGGGTTGTTCCCATTTGGGGGGCAACAAATAGGATTGCTAAAAGGATATGCCAAAAAGCTGATGGCAGGGCCAGCATTGTGGTGCAGTTGGTTAAGCTGCTGCTTACAAGGTCAGCATCCCATGTCGGAGCACAGCTCCTGATCCAGCTCCCTGCTGATGAACTTGAGAAAGCAGTGGAAGATGATCCAAACACTTAGGTCCCTGCCACCCATATGGGAGAGTTACTGGTACCTGGCATTAGCCTGGCCCAGCCCTGGCTGTTACAGCCATTTGAGGAGTGACCCAGCAGATAGATTTCTCTCTCTCTGATGTTCTGCCTTTCAAATAATTTTTTTAAAGGTTCATGGAAAAGTAAAATCAAAAGATGTTTCATGTGGAAAAATTTGAAATCCATGCATAGTTTTTACATATGTCCACACATAGTTTTTACATGTGTCCACAAACTTTTTTTTAAAGATTTATTTATTTGAAAGGCAGAGAGAGAATCTCCCATCCACTGATTCACTCCCCAAATGGCCACAATGGTCAGGGCTGGGTCAGGATGAAGCCAGGAGCCAGGAGCTTCTTCCAGGTCTCCCACCTAGATGCAGGGGCCCAGGCCCTTGGACCATCCTCCACTGCTTTCCCAGGAGCATTAGCAGGGAACTGCATCAAAAGTGGAGCAGCCTGAACTCAAACCAGCATCAACATGGGATGCTGGCATCACAGGCAGTTAGCTCAACATGCTGTGCCATAGCACCAGGCCCTGTCATTGAACATTTTGAAGACTGCCTTATATAAGATTTCCAAAATTTTTTGCACCAAAACAAACTTATATTTTAATTCCATTTTCCCACAAATTTTTTTTTCAAGTATCTTTGCATGAACATTCTCATACAAGTCTTTGTATGAGCATACACATATGCTTTCATTCTTCCAGGAGTGAGGAATTATTGGGTCATATTGTGAATGTATGTGTAACTTTTTAAGAAACTGCCAAACTGCTTTCCAAACTAGCTGCACTATTTTACATTCCTATTTGTGTGTGTGTGTGTACATGGAATCACACATCATATGTCCCTTTGTACTAGGTTTATTTAACTTAGTGTTACATTTTCAAGGTTCACCCATGCTGTCACACGTATCAGAACTTCATTGTTTTTCTTTTCAATCATCTTTGGTGTCTGTTTTCCCTAGAACTTCATTCTTTTTTAAGGCTGTATAATAGTCAAATATACCTACATACCATATTTTGTTTATCCATTCATCTGTTGGTGGACATTCTAGGTTGTTTCTGCCTTTTGGCTGTTATGAATAGCTGCTATGAATATTGATGTACAAGTATCTGAATTGCTGCTTTCAGTTCTTTTGTGTATCAGTCACAAAGTAGAACTGCTGGATCATACAGTAATATTATGCTTCCATTTCTGAGAAACTGTCAAAATGGTTTTTTCAAGTGGGTATTCTACATTCTCACCAGTAACGCCTAAAAGTTCAGATTTCTCCACATTCTCAGCAACAATTACTTTCATTTTGCTTGAAACAGCCACTGCAGTGTGAAGTAAAATCTCATCATGGTTGTGGATTTTTTTAAAAAATTGTTTTTAATTTGGGAAGCAGAAAGACAGGACTCCCACTCACCAGGCCTCTACCCAACTTGGACTCCATCCAAGTCTCCCACTTGTTTGGCAGCAACCCACACACTTGAGTCGTGACCTGCAGCTACTAGGATGATCATCAGCAGGAAACTGGATTCCATGTAGAGTTGCAGGACTCCAACTAGCCATTCAGATATGGGATGCAGGAGTCCCGAGCAACAGCTTAACCCACTGGGCCACAATGCCTGGCCCACTTGGCCCATTCTTGGATTATTTGGGTTTTTTGGTTACACTCCAAGAGTTCTTTATATATTCTGGATAATAATCCTTTATCAGAGAGATGACTTGCAAGTCCTTTCTGTAATTCTGTGAACTGTCTTACCACTTGTACACTGCTTTTAATTCTGTAGAACTATGCTGTTTCCAGTCACCTTTGTGTACTCTAAAAAAACAACCTTGTAAGATCTAAATTGTCATGGCTGACGCTGCTGGCAAAGTGGGTTAAGCTGCCGCCTACTGTTGCTCCCTTGCCCGCAAAGGAACGACACTGTTTGCAGCTTATCGGTCTTCAGCAGACTTTTAATAAGAAAATAACAGTGACAGAGAAAGAATGAAGGGAGGAGAGTGGACAGAAAAGCCCCCTCCTTCCTCAGCACACAGCTTATATACAAAATCCGGCCAATTGCAAGCAGGCTCAAGTCCATCCATGGAACACTCCAATCCGCTGTCTGTTCACGCAGTGTGCACGCGTCCTCAGATGAGGTGTCACGCAGCAGGCAGGCTCACCGCGCGGTCCTCGGTGCCATCTTGTTGTTTACAACATTCTCAACTCCTCTGGAAAGTCCCGACCATGGGAAAGCATTGCCCTAACCGAAACTAGCAACATTCGCCCTGTGATTTATAAAGACACAGCAACAGCTATCAGACAGACCTTGACGTGGGGGCTCCATGGCTGCGCATCCCATTGAGCCCCACACCTACAGCGCTGGTACCCCATATGGCGACTCCACTTCCCAACCAGCTCCCTGCTAATGCACTTGGGAAAGCAGAGGAAGATACCCCAAGTACTTGGGCCCCACACCCATGTGGGAGACTCAGAAAAAGCTCCTGGCTTCACACTGGCCCACCCCATCTCTGGCCTTAGCAGCCATTTGGGCAGTGAACCAGCAGAGGGAAGCTCACTTACTCTCTCTACCTCTGCCTCTCCTTCTCTGTAACTCCACCTTTCAAATAAATATATCTTTAAAAAATGGAAATTGTCTCCACAGATAAGAGAACTGAAACTCAATCATAGCTGATTTCATTGATAAAATCATCTATCAAGAGTAACAGAAGCTGCTTCAAAAAGGCATAGAGGGGTCCGCGCTGTGGCAGGGGGTAAAGCACCCTGCACTGCCAGCATCCCATATGGACGCTGGTTCCAGTACTGGCTGCTCCATTTCCAATCCAGCCCTCTGCTGTGGCCTGAGATAGCAGTGCAAGATGGCCCAAGTCCTTGGGCCCCTGAACCCGCACAGGAGACCAGGAAGAAGCTCCTGGCTCCTGGCTTCGGATCAGCTCGCTCTGGCCGTGGCGGCCATCTAGGGAGTGAAACAGCCGATGGAAGCCAGCTCTCTTTCTCTGCCTCTCTGTAACACTGCCTTTCAAATAAATGAAAAATAATTTTTAAAAAAGGTATAGGACCGGTGGGAATATAGAAAGCAGAGATCCACAGATATTGCGACCATAGCTTGGGTTCACAATGTTAGAGCTGCCCTCCATACAAGTTTCCAAAACCCACACTCACACTGCACCAAGTTCCAAACTCCAAACCCCTCCCGGGCCCCAGCGGAATCCCAAGACTACTTCAGGGCACTTCCGCCCCATGCCCGCCGGCTGCGAGGGAGCTAGCGCGTGCGCTGTGGCGGTGTCCGCGCGCCCTGACCGGCGCGGGCTGAGACGCCTGGCTTCCGGCGCGAAGGTGAGACTTCCCAGGCTCCGGCGCTGAGTGATGATGTAATCTCCGGTCGCCGTGCTGAGTCGGAAGTGGGAACCCTTCGGCCGCTGAGACTCTGTCGTGTCGCTGCTGGCCCTTCAGGCTCTGGTAAGAGAGAAGGCAGCCTGACGGGAGGGGATCGTTGAGTCTGGAACGGATTTTTCTCCTAGTGAAATGCCAGTCCAGGCCTCTGCACTCGTGCTAACTCGCACACTGCTTCTCTTGTGCTTCCCTGCCTTGGGACCTTCCTCGCGAACTTCCACCCTGATTTAGGAACCCTTACAGGACCCCAGCCTTTGCTGTCTCTGTACGTTTCTCTGCCCTGTTCGTGGCTGTGCCCTTCCTGGGAGGGCTGGAATACTGCTTTGCTTTATCTTTTGACTTTCTTTTCTAGAACATGCGCCGAGCTGGTGGGTCTGCCTCTTTCCCTTATGGAACCTGGGGGGATACAGTGTGGAAAGTAGACGACAAATAGGAAGACGCCGGAAAGATACAAATAATAGTAATCAAACCGATTGGATGCCTGTGTCAGAGTGTTCACGTTTCTCACGGCGAGTGATGGGTTCACCACCCGTAGCTCGTGGAACTCTGCGTCGTGCTTCCTAAAAATGGAGTGGCCACAGCTCGGGAGCTCATGTTGAAGGGTCTTGCTGTGGGGATCAGTTTTTCGCTCGGGGAGCAAGGATGTGTTGTGTCTGTGTCATTGCCTGCCATGGGCCCACGTGGCAGTCCACCTGAGATAAAAAGGGACCCAAGAAGGAAAAAAAAAAAAACTGTCTGTTTTTTTTTAACTTGATAAGAGCCTTTTAGCTTGTGGATAGATGTGGTGAAGAGTTTTGTTGCCATGTTAGGCTGGCCTGAAAAAATTATTGGGTGAAATATACAACGAGAGCATTTTAAAATTTCCTGTTTTAATTTGATGCAGGTATTTCCATGAGAGAGAATCACGGAGTATAATTTAATAGAACTTGATTTTAAACGATCTCAGTTTTACAAAATGGTTCAGATATTTCTGTTTAGAACAGTTACAGATGTGATGTTAAAACATTTATGTGCTGGCCGGCGCCGCGGCTCACCAGGCTAATTCTCCGCCTTGCGGCGCCGAGACACCGGGTTCTAGTCCCGGTCGGGGCGCCGGATTCTGTCCCAGTTGCCCCTCTTCCAGGCCAGCTCTCTGCTGTGGCCCGGGAGTGCGGTGGAGGATGGCCCAGGTTCTTGGGCCCTGCACCCCATGGGAGACCAGGAGAAGCACCTGGCTCCTGGCTTCGGATCAGTGCGGCGCGCCGGCCACGGCGGCCATTGGAGGGTGAACCAACGGCAAAGGAAGACCTTTCTCTCTCTCTCTCTCTCTCTCACTGTCCACTCTGCCTGTCAAAAAATTTTAAAAAAGTAATAATAATAAAAAGAAAGAAACTTCTTTTCAAAGGCACGTATTCTAAGAGAATCAAGTCCAGTAGCTTCTAAGGATTGTTGGTTACACTGTCCCAAAGGCTGACAACGGTGTCATGTGTATCTCCATATGGCCTTTGAAAATAGGAAATAATATGTTGCTAGTGACATTATTGAACATTAAAACAGAATATCAAGGTTCTGTTTTATCAGGTCTTTGTTTTGGAGTGGGCAGTACCTAGATACTTACATCCACATTTGTAAGTTCATTGAAAAAAATCTAAACTGGCATTTCCACGAAGATTCTCATCAAGCAACCAGCTCTCCTTTTTCCTGTAACTTTTTTATGAGTGACTGTCAAGTTTCAACTTTTTATTTGAAAACAGTTGTGTGCAGATTTGAAGTACATGTGAAAGATTCACTTAATGAGGTAGAAAAAAAGTTTCTTGTTTTCCACAGACATTTGCAATGACAACACAGATCTATTTCTACTCTTCGGTTTGTACATGCTGAGATACCAAAGAGCCACAGTGTCTGGCCTGGAAATTTGACCTTCCCCTGCAACTCAACACAAATAGGAAAGCCCTTACTTTGAAGTAGGCTCAGGACTGATGCTCTTGATGACAAGGAGTTCAGGAACAGCTTAAGTAAGATTGAGTCATTCATAGATATTTATCTAGGATTTCATGACTGTGATATATAATGCTGAACAAGAAAGATCAGATTTGAACCTGTGCTCAAAGAGCTTATCATCTAGCAAAGTAGATCTGCTTAGGAAAGCAATGGGGGAAGATAAAAATCCTAGCACAATTACAAACTAGCTGTATGAGAAAACCAGCTTCTTTATGCATTGTTGAGAAGGGAGGACGTGGTGCCATTTATTGTTGATGAGTTCTCTGTGTCTTTCTCAGTAATCTTAAGAGCTTGTCTGCCATATGCTGTGCTTGCTAGCCCACAGCCTCCTTTCAGTACATGGGGTACAGGAGATGTATCTCCTTTATAATAACCTAGACTCTTTTCAGATATATTTCTAAAAAAAAAAGCTGGCTTCTACACTTAAGAGAATTTATTGACTTTTTTTTTTTTTGCCAGGCAGAGTTAGACAGTGAGAGAGAGACAGAGAGAAAGGTCTTCCTTCTGTTGGTTCACCCCCGGAATGGCCACTACGGCCGGCGCACTGTGCCAATCCGAAGCCAGGAGCCAGGTGCCTCCCCCTGGTCTCCCATGCGGGTGCAGGGTCCAAGCACTTGGGCCATCCTCCACTGCCCTCCCAGGCCACAGCAGAGAGCTGGACTGGAAGAGGAGCAACCAGGACTAGTACCCAGCGCCCCCAACCGGGACTAGACCTGGGGTGCCAGCGCCATAGGTGGAGGATTAGCCTAGTGAGCTGCGGCACCGGTCGAATTTATTGACTTTTTTTTTTTTTTTTTTTTTGACAGGCAGAGTGGACAGGGAGAGAGAGAGACAGAGAGAAAGGTTTTCCTTTGCCGTTGGTTCACCCTCCAATGGCCACCGCGGCGGGCGTCCTGCGGCCAGTGCACCGCGCTGATCCGGTGGCAGGAGCCAGGTGCTTCTCCTGGTCTCCCATGGGGTGCAGGGCCCAAGCACTTGGGCCATCCTCCACTGCACTCCCGGGCCACAGCAGAGAGCTGGCCTGGAAGAGGGGCAACTGGGACAGAATCCGGCGCCCCGACTGGGACTAGAACCCGGTGTGCCGGCGCCACAAGGCTGAGGATTAGCCTAGTGAGCCGTGGTGCCGGCGAATTTATTGACTTTTATAACTGAAAAATCCAGAAGTCTTTCCATCTCTCAATTTTTATTTTTCTAAATGTTGGCTTAGTTTTTGGTTAGGTGTTTTCTAGATGCTGTAAAGATGGCAAGTCTAGGTCTTTATCTTGCCAGCCAGGCAACCCAAGCAGGAGAACAGAGTTCTGTTTCGATTCAGCCCAAGCCCTGAAGCTTGTATTCGTTAACTCTCATAGGCCTCAGTAGGGTCTTGTGCCCCATCCTCGGTTAACAGCTTTGGCCAGAAAATACGACGTTCTTTCTGTTCTGGGCATAGTCATTTGCCCCTTCCTGGATCTAGTGGGTGATATCAGCCCCATCTGAACACCTGGACTGAGAGGTGTGGATACCTAAAGGAAAAATGTAGGATGTCATGTTGGAATAACATGATGGTGTTTTAGAAACAGAAAATAACAAGAACTCACTATACTTTTTTGCATTCCTTGAATTCAACACCTTATGATGGATGAAGAGTAGTGGTCACCAGACAGGGAAGCACTTCTTGGGGCCTGTATGTGAATTAGAGGTAATTAGTAAGCTGATGTGGTAGTTATGTAGGGGAAAGCCCTCTCAAGAATTCTTGTTAATTCTAACACTACATAAAATAGCTTCCATTTTTGCATTATTAAACTCAACTCAAATTTATGATAGTTTAAAAAGTTCATGAAAATTGAATTAACAGATGTTATTTTGTACAAAATATTTTTTAAATCCTTGCATAGTTTTTTCATAATACATGTTAACCATTAACTTTTGGAGACATGTCATACAGGGCAAAAAATAAAATGGATAGAGCACCATCTAAGAGTCTAATTCCTGGGGCTGGTGCTGTGGTGCAATGGGACAAAACCCTAGCCTGCAGCGCCAGCATCCCATATTGGCACTAGTTCAAGTCCCTGCTGCTCCACTTCTGATCCAGCTCCCTGCTAATGCACCTGCGAAAGCAGTGGAAAATGGTCCAAGTGCTTGGGCCCCTGCACCCATGTAGGAAACTCAGAAGAAGCTCCTGGCTCCTGGCTTGGTATCTGCTCAGCTCTGACCATCGCAGCCATTTGGGGAATGAACCAGCAGATGGAAGACCTCTCTTTCTCCCTCTCCCTCTCCCCCCCATCTTCTGTAACTCTGTCTTTCAAATAAATAAAATACATCTTTAATAAAAAGAAAAAATAAAACCTATAGTGGGCCTTTGGTACAGCAGTTAAGCCATCCACAGATGCCCCATCCCATATTGGAGTGTTTGGTTCAAGTTCAAGTCCCAGCTACTCCACAAGGGATCCAGCTTTCTAACAATGGCACCCTGGGAAGCTACAGATGTTGGCTCAAGTACTTGGGTCCCTGCCATCCACATGGGAGAGCTGCATGGCCTTCTAGGCTCCTTGCTCAGCCCTGTATATTATATGTATTTGAAGAGTGAACCAATACGGATGGAAGATCAATCTCTCTCTCTCTCCCTCTCTATCTCTCCCTCTCTGTCACTCTTTGTGTGTGTGCATGCATACCTTTAAGATAAAACAAAAAAAAAAAAAAAGAAAAATTTCTAAAAGGAATTCTATTTCTTGAAGCAGTAAAGACTTACACTGAGAGACTATACTGTCTGTATAAGTCATTAGAACTAATTAGCCATTAACTTTTTCAGAATTTACTTTTATTTATTTGATGTGCAGAGTTACACAGAAGCGGATGAGAGACAGAGAGATCTTCCATCCACTGGTTCACTCCCCAACTCAACACCCCGAGCCGGGTCAGTCCAAAGCCAGGAGCCAGGAGCTTCTTCCAGCTCCTCCACATGGATGGCAGAGGTCCAGACACTTGAGCCATCTTCCACTGCTTTCTCAGGCACATTAGCAGAGAGCTGGATCAGAAGTTGAGCAGGGGCCGGCACTGTGGTATAGCAGGTAAATCCACCGCCTGCAGTGCTGGCATACCATATGGGTGCTGGTTCGTGTCCCGGCTGCTCTACTTCCAATCCAGCTCTCTGCTATGGCCTGGGAAAGCAGTAAGATGACCCAAGTGCTAGTGCCCCTGCACCCATGTGGGAGACCCGGAAGAAGCTCCTGGCTCCTGGCTTCTGGCTCCTGGCTTCTGCTTCAGATCAGCTCAGCTCTGGCCATTGAGGCCAATTGGGGAGTAAACCAACGAATGGAAGACTTTCTTTTCTCTCTCTCTCTCTGCCTCTCTGCTTCTCCACCTGTCCGCCTCTCCTTCTCTCTCTGTGTCTGACCTTCAAATAAAAATAAATAAATATTTAAAAAAGAAGTGCAGCAGCCAGGACTCGAACTGGCACCTGAATAAGATGCTAGTGTCACAGGCGACAGCTTTACCCACTACACCACAAAGCAGGCCCCTAATCATTAACTATTTTTTTTAAAGATTTATGTTATTTATTTGAAAGGCACAGTTACTAGGCAGGGGGAGAGACAGAGAGAGTGATCTTCCATCTGCTGGTTCATTCTCCATTGACCACAATGGCCAGGGCTGGGCCATGCCAAAGACAGGAACCTGGAACTCCATCTGGGTCTCCCACATGGGTATAGAGGCCCAAGGAATTGGACCATCCTCCACTGCCCTCAGAAGTGCATCAGCAGGTAGCTGGAGCAGAAGTGGAGCAGCCGGGACTGGAACCAGCAACCGTACGGGATGCCGGCATCACAAGCGGCAGCTTTACCCACTAGGCCACAACGCTGGCCCTTAGCCATTAATACTTAACCAGAAGACATAGCAGAGGAATGTGAAATAACTGGTGGAGGAAGCTCAGATTATTGAGAAGTGTTACCGTCTCTTCCTGTAACTTTCCCAGCTTGGCGCTAGCTTGTGTTAATGTCATTCTGTAAGGAAGCTTACCTCAATATACTAAGGTAGATTTTAAGGTAGATTTTTTTTTTTCACCTTCCCTTGTGTCTCTACCCCTGCTCTTTCTAAGGCCTTTGTTCTTGTAGCAGTTCAACATCCTGTAAGTGGATTATTTATACCCTGTGTCTCTTCCCACATTTTTCTGGGGTCTGCTTTTATGCAGTGGCCTTAAAAATCTCAGAAATGGGAGACAGCCTTTCAGGGGACTCTGCTCATCCTATTGTAACTCTTACGTCTGCTTGGCTTTGAAAAACGAAGTGTAGCCACAGGAGTGCATACGCAGGCTCAGTCAGCTCCACCAAATACCTTTGAGGTATTTATTTTATGTTACACTGTAAACCTGACAATTTTTATGTTTATTCAGTTTTTGTAATGAAAAAAATCAGATAAGCAGTGAAACTTAGATATAGAATTATACAAAAGCCACTTAGTTCTCAGTTCAAGAAATGTCAGTAGTTTTAAGCCTACAAATAGAGAAAGATTGCTGAACATATATTAAAGATATACAACATACAGCTAGTCTAGTTCTGGTCATGATTTGCTGTTCTAACCCTAAGCTATGGAGTTATGTTTATTTTGTATGTAGCTGAGGGAAGTCTCAGTTCCAACCCTAGATCATAGGAGTCTGAGCAGGTGCCACGTTTTCTTTCCCATAGTGAATGAAAACTAGCCTGCCGGCCTCGAGACTTAGCAGATGAGATCTCTGACTTCTTTATGCTTAGCCTTTTCTGAAGGAATAGCAGTAGAAAATGTTGAAGTAAGAACTTGACTACCGATAAATACATTTCAACTGAATGCTCTTTGTAGGCTTTTTGGTGTTTCACTGTCCCCAGATTAGGCCATTATGTCCACTTGATGGGTTTATATTGATTTTGCCAAAATAGTATTGTGTTTTGGAACAGAAATTTGCAAATTCTTAACCCAACGCCTTTTGAAATGTATTATATCTGAGAAGTGGGAAAAGGAATTGCTGTGAGGGTCTTACAACTGTTCTGTTATCTGCCCTTCTCTGTCTGATACCTGTCCCTTGTACAGCCCCTCCCCCTAGGTCTGGATGGAGGATAACTTAAAGTGAAATGACAGACCAGGAGAATAACAACAACATCTCAAGTAACCCCTTTGCTGCTCTTTTTGGCTCCCTGGCTGATGCCAAGCAGTTTGCAGCAATCCAAAAAGAGCAGCTGAAGCAGCAATCTGGTAAGTGAAGGAGCCAGTCGCGTGAATGAGCTGACCTAGAATGGGGTCTTCCCAATTAAGTATTCCCTGGGTCCTTTAATTGCAATTGGAATTTAAGTTTGAGGCAGAAATTGTTTGTGTTTATTTAGGGCAGAAGTTGTTTTTGTTGGTTTTTGTTTTGGGATTCTCCCTTAGCCTCCACACCTCCTGCGTATAAAGAAACTGGAAAATAGGTGGTTCCATAGGAATGGGTGTCTATTGTGATCTCAAAGCTGCCGTGCTGTTTTATTTTTAAAAAGAAAAAAATCACTGTGTTAAAGCTATTTACGTACATATTTTTAACATAGTAAACTGACGAAGTAAGTGAAAGTTTGGAAAGCAAGTCATATGCAGCTATAGAAAGCAAGTGTAAAAGGAAGATTGTGGATAAATGAGATTTGTTCCTAAGCTCAGAGTTTAAAAGGCCCTCTCCAGTAAAGTGCTTCTCAGTGGCCTCTTTTATAGCCTACTGCTGTTAGAACCGACCCCTGGGAAAATCTGACCTTTAGCCTTAATGTGAAAAAAAATCTGAATATCTCACTAATCAGAAAAATGTTTGTCTTTATGTGGAAACAAAGTTAAGATCAAGTCCAGCTTCCTCCAATCAGGAAACATATGGCCTAGAAGAACTTGGTGGGGTTCCTCAGACATGCTAGACTCCTGAGAACATTAACAGTCTTTCCTTTTCTTTCCTTTTCTCTCTCTCTTTCTTTCTTTCTTTCTTTCTTTCTTTGTTTCTTTGTTTCTTGATGTATTTATTTATTTGAAAGGCAGAGTTAGAGAGAGAGCTTCTGTCTGCTGATTTACTATCCAAATGGTGATAAAGGCAGGGGCTAGGCCAGGCTGAAGCCAGGTGCCAGGAGCTCCATCTAGGTCTCCCACAAGGGTGCAGGGACCCAAGCACTTAGATCATCTTCCATTGCTTTCCCAGGTGCATTAGCAGGGCACTGGATCAGAAGTGGAGCAGCCGGGACTTGAACTGGTGCACATGTGGAAAGCCAGCACTGCAAGCAGTGGCTTTACCTGCTATACCACAATGCTGGCCCCAGTGTTCACAGTCTTTCAAACTAAAAATTGCATGCCTTCTCCTATTTCCAAAAGGAAGAATAGTTTTTCTTTGAGAAATAGAAAAGTGTTTACATTTTCTCTTTATTTTGTTGTTTTTTTTTTTTTTTAAGTTCAGATGCATAGATGAGATGTGGCCTTTCTTTTGATTAAGATTAAACAAAAAGGAGATAAAGGCAAGACGGATGTGTGTTAGGGTGATGGATAAAGCAAAGAAAAAATCAACACAATGCTGACTTTTTAGCTGGCTGTAAACAGACATAAGGCTGGCTGGACTCGGGAGCACTGCAGGCAGTGGGAACAAGGCCGGCACTGCTCTGCTGTTACTATTTTGGCACCTCGTCATCGTAGCTTGTTTACACGGAGTTTATCACGCCACCAGGTCCAACCTGTTTGCCATTAGCAGTTAGCACTCTGTTGAAACCTTTGGCCTCCTGTATTGAGCTTTACTTGGTACTAAGCTCACCACACTGAGGCAGCTCTTCCTTCTGGGTGGCAGGGAACTGCAGGGAACTGGTTCAGCGGAGACTTTCTGCACTGCACTTCCCTGAACAGTTTGGAATTATTAAAACAAATGTCTCCTCCAGGAGAAAGCCAGGCATTTTGACCTGTTAGGTAATTCTTTGTTTACAAGCATTCTGTTGGGAAGATAACGTTTCTATTTTTGGCAGTATGGAACACAGTTATGAGTAGAAGTAATAAAACTTGCCCCGTGTAAAATGTGATGAGATTATAGCTGTGGATTTTAGAATCAAACACTTAACTTGCCAGACTTAAGATATTTACTGGTTAGATGATTGACTTGTTCCACAGTAAAATTACCCTCCTCTTGGTTACGTTTATCACTTTGGGTAGTAAATTGGTTTCTTAAAGAGAAGGATGTGACATTGAACAGTGTACTTGTTCTGGCAGATGAACTCCCAGCTAGCCCAGATGACTCGGATAATAGTGTGTCAGAGAGCCTGGATGAATTTGATTACTCTGTGGCCGAGATTAGTCGCTCATTCCGATCACAACAGGAAATATGTGAGCAACTCAACATCAATCACATGATCCAAAGAATCTTCCTCATTACTCTGGACAACAGTGAGTTAAAGACTTGTGGCCAACCTGGTCATTATTCTACCTTTCCTACTTGGGCGTGCACCAGAGACTTGTTCTTAGAAATATGTTGCATCTGATGGTCAGACAAACCCACTGTGCCCCCTGGAATACAGGGTTTATATTTCAGTGAAACTTTGGCTGTGACCCACAAATGATGTTTAAACACAGGTCTAACTTTTGTCCCCATTTTGATACTAACTGGGCCATATAGCCACTCAGCTTTACTACCTGAAAGGGAAATGGGAATGGTATCAAATCCAGTTTTTCTCAGATGGAAGCCTTGAGAGATATCAGTGTTTTCCCTGTGTGCCCTATCTGTAGTTAAATCCCAAAGTTAGAACTAATGTCTGGGATTTGCTCTTTAAATGTTATGATGTCAGGTTTATAACAAAGCCCATGCTCTGTGACTGGAAGAAAAAGATTTAAATCTTGACATACTACTTTGTATATCAGGATCACTCCTGAGTCAAACTTGGAGTTCAGGAAAAGTGCTGGTGTCTATGTAAGATCAGTTGTCTATATAATATAAACAGGAACATTATCCTTAACCTATCAGATTATAATCATTTCCCAGGTGATCCAAGCTTGAAAAGTGGGAATGGTATCCCCAGCCGTTGTGTGTATTTGGAAGAAATGGCAGTAGAACTGGAAGATCAAGATTGGCTTGATATGAGCAATGTTGAGCAGGTACTGTTCTTCTGTTCCTAGTGTGTGCCCTCAGCAAAAATGAGCCCTGCTGCTGAGCTCTGCTCACCCTTCTCCAGCTGAGATCCTGCTTACCTCTTTCCCTTACAACGTGTATGGTATTCCTCTTTTGGGGTCTTCTCATCTACCACATTTCCAGAGTTACCCATCTTTTAAAAATCAGTTATAATGCCATCTTATTTACAAAGCCTTGTACATAGGAGTTGTTACTCCCTCCTCCAAGATCCTAGAGTAATCTCTAAAGGGAATTGTGACTTTCTGTCTCATGTAACAGCTTTTTATGTACCTGTCTCATCTCCCCTTTTACATTCTTGAAGTTCTTTAGGGCAAGGCCTATCTCATTTTTTGTCTTTATATCCTTTCAAAAATCACAGCAGTGCATCGTACCTTGCAGGTGCGTCATTACTACCAGAGGAGTAAAAGTTGGGTAGGGAAAACACTTAACAACTTGCAGTCTAACTTTGCACATTTGAAGTATCTGTAAGGAACCAGCAGTTTGAAGAGTGATCTGTGTGTGTCTGTCTCTGTCACTCTTCCTTGTAAATAAATAAAAATTTAAAAATAAAGCTTAAAAGTATCTTAAAGTCTGAGTGAGGTCAGCAATCCCACAGAATAGATTTTTACATACAGGTTTAATTATTGATTCTCAATACCTTTCAACAAATAGCCTTTTTTTTTTTTTTTTTTTTAAGATTTATTTATTTATTTGAAAGTCAAAGTTACCCAGAGAGAGAGGTCTTCCATCTGCTGGTTCTCTCCCCCCGTTGGCCGCAACGGCTGGAGCTGCACCAATCTAAATCCAGGAGCCAGGAGCTTCTTCCAGGTCTCCCATGCAGGTGCAGGGGCCCAAGGACTTGAGCCATCTTCTACTGCTTTCCCAGGCCATGGCAGAGAGCTGAATCGGAAGTGGAGCAGCCGGAACTCGAACTGGCACCCATATGGGATGCCGGCACTGCAGGCAGCGGCTTTACTTGTTACGCCACAGCACCGGCCCCTATGTATAATGTTTTCTAAAGTAATGAAATGTTGGTTCATTGTTTTCCCCTTCACTCTACATCCAAGTCTCTGATTCTTGTAATAACCTGTGTCAAAATGATGTGTGACATCCAGTGATCTAAGATTGACTTTGCAGTGATTTAGTATTTCTGTTTGCTTTTCTTAATAGGCCATCTTTGCTCGCCTGTTACTTCAAGATCCAGGGAACCACTTGATTAACATGACTTCTTCCACAACGTTAAATCTCTCTGCTGATCGCGATGCAGGGGAGAGGCACATATTTTGTTACCTGTATTCTTGCTTCCAAAGAGCCAAGGAGGAGGTAAAGGAATAATCCCATAGGATATTATATTATCCTCTTGGATATGACTTCAGTACGTAAGCCCGAGTTGGCCTTTACAGCAATTTATATTCATCATAGTCTATCTGGAACTGGATATTACAAGCACTTTCAGTTTGTCTTCTAAGGCCTTAGTCATCTTTCTGTGGCTTGGAGTCACCCCTCTCTTCAGTTAACCAGTGTCTCCTATTTTCTCTAAAACCTCTTTAGAAATCACACCTTTAAAAAAACAAAAAGCCCAATAAATTCATTTCCATTGGGGTATAAATATTAGAGTAGGCTAAGCTTGACAATTTCAGGATTGGATAAATTCTTAATTCCTTAAACAAAAGAATGAACCTCATGGATTTTGAAGGTTCCACAGGAAACTGATATTGTTTGGAACACAGTGTACACTGTGTCTGCCCTTGCTCTAGGTCGCAGAGCTAGACTCTTTCCTCTCTTTCTTGTGCTGTTGCAGATTACCAAAGTCCCAGAGAACTTGCTACCTTTTGCAGTGCAGTGCAGGAACCTCACTGTGTCTAATACTCGGACAATTCTCCTTACCCCAGAGATCTATGTTGACCAAAACATCCATGAGCAGCTGGTAGAGTTGATGTTGGAAGCCATCCAAGGAGCCCGTGAGTAGATAAGATGTGTGAGCTTCTACATTTTGATTTCCAGACTTTAAATTCCTTTACTTACATTAGAAAGTCTCAGAGTCATTATGGTGCTGGTCTAACGTAAGGCTCGCACTTTCAGCCTTGGGATTAAATACTAAGAGAATTATCAAATGCATCAGAAGAGTATACAGGCATTTAAAAATCCCAGTGGCCTCCTTTCTCTCTCATTTGTCTTCTGTTAGATTTTGAAGATGTAACTGAGTTTCTAGAGGAGGTCATTCAAGCCTTGATACTGGATGAAGAAGTTCGAACATTTCCAGAGGTCATGATTCCAGTGTTTGATATTTTATTGGGTCGAATCAAAGATCTGGAGCTCTGCCAGATCCTATTGTATGCATACCTGGATATTCTTCTCTATTTCACCAGGCAAAAGGACATGGCAAAGGTGGGTCTGAAAGGTGTTACAGATTCAGTTGTGCTAGAGATTTAACACATTATGTTTCCTAACCCGAAGACGCTGTGATACTACCTATGGCATATGAGAAAGAATTGTTGTTGTATCATCTTAACTCTGATGCCTTCGCCTTTATCACACCACACAGATAAATAAGTAGGATTTGTCTTCTACAGGTTTTTGTAGAATACATTCAGCCCAAGGACCCTAGCAATGGGCAGATGTACCAGAAGACCTTGCTAGGAGTAATTCTGAATATTTCCTGCTTATTAAAGACTCCAGGTGTGGTAGAAAATCATGGCTACTTCCTGAATCCATCCCGGTCCAGTCCTCAGGAGATCAAAGTCCAGGAGGCCAACATCCATCAGGTGGAACTGTTTACTGGGGTATCCTAGCCCCCTGAGCTTAGATTAAATAATTTCCTCAGGAACCAGGTACAGATAAGGCTGCTTGAGCCTCTTTGGGAAAGCAAATGGATGTGGTTGGCTTTTAGTATAATCCTATGAAGAAATGAGCCTCTTTAGCATATGCTAAGAGCGGAGGGTAGACCTTTGTGTAGGGTAGGAATCAGCACAGCCACTTCCCATCACCCTCATTGTTCCCACTGAGCTGTGGCTCCTAACTTTAGCTCCTGGAGTCTTTGAACTCCTGCTTATGAACCCAGTGTTTTACCCCCTCTCTTTTATCCATGCCCTCTTTATTTGGGCTTCTTAGCATAAATTATAATAAGTAGATGGCTGACCAATGGTTCAAGCAAGGGTGGTTTCAATCTCTCATTTAAGCACAGCTCTCTAAAGCAGGTGATGGCAGACTATAGCAGTGGCCTGCCTCCTGTTTTTGAAAATAGCCTATGATTGAATATTGCTATGTCCATTTATACATGTATTGGTTATGGCTTGATTTTATACAATGGCAGAGTTGAATAATTGCTTCAGAGACTTATAATAAGCAAAGCCAAAAATAGGTATCATCTAGCACTTTGCAGAAGTTTGCTAACCAATGCTCTAAAACTCGGAAATGCTGCCTGCATTTTGGCAGCTGATCAAAAAATGTCTCCTAAGTGCCCAGAAATGTATTTTTTAGAAATCAAAAAGAGAGCCTTAGGGATAGGGACACTGAAGAGAAAGACTAGAATTAGTATATTTTTAGAAACTAGAAACTGCCAGTTGCTAAGGTTTAGAAGTAAAAAATATTAGGATTGTGAAACTGGAATGTTCTGTGGTTGTGTTTTCTGGTTAAACAGTTCATGGCTCAGTTCCATGAAAAGATCTACCAGATGCTGAAGAACTTACTCCAGCTCTCTCCAGAAACCAAACACTGTATCTTGTCCTGGCTCGGAAACTGTTTGCATGCAAATGCAGGCCGCACCAAGATTTGGGCCAATCAGATGCCAGAGATCTTCCTCCAAATGCATGCCTCGGATGCCTTCTTTCTGAACCTGGGCGCTGCCCTCCTGAAGCTGTGCCAGCCTTTCTGCAGACCCAGATCCTCTCGGCTCCTCACCTTCAACCCCACTTACTGTGCCCTCAAGGAGTTGAATGACGAAGAACGAAGAATTAAAAATGTACACATGAGAGGTAGGAAGGTGGGGGCCGGGCCTCTCAGTGTGTGTGTATCTGTGTGTGATGGAAGGCGTTCACCCCCTTCTCTTTTTTTCAGAGTGCAGCTTTTCCAAAAAAGATGAGACAGAAAGAAGGACCTTTAAAAAATGTTTAAGACTTTAAAAAACAGTAACTGCTAGCCTTTTTTTTTTTTTTTTTTGACAGGCAGAGTGGACAGTGAGAGAGAGACAGAGAGAAAAGTCTTCCTTTGCCATTGGTTCACCCTCCAATGGCCGCCACGGCTGGCGTGCTGCGGCTGGCGCACCGCGCTGATCCGATGGCAGGAGCCAGGTGCTTTTCCTGGTCTCCCATGGGGTGTAGGGCCCAAGCACTTGGGCCATCCTCCACTGCACTCCCTGGCCACAGCAGAGAGCTGGCCTGGAAGAGGGGCAACCAGGACAGAATCAGGCGCCCTGACCGGGACTAGAACCCGGTGTGCGGGCGCCACAAGGCGGAGGATTAGCCTAGTGAGCCGCGGCGCCAGCCAACTGATAGCCTTTCACTGTTTGTGCTTCAGTCAGACTTCCAGGTTTGGTGGCTGTGTATTCGTTCATTCGTTCACTCACTGATTTTTTTTATAAAAATGAATAAAGCAGAGTCACTAGGCTTTTTTAATTCAGAGGCTCCAGAAGAAGGCGGATATATTAGCAGATTATTGTAATGTGGCTTGGGGCTAACTGAGCAGACAGAGAGGGGAGTGAAGAGTTCTGCACAAAGTTAAATGTTTCATAGCTGAACCTTGAAAAATGAGTTAGGTTTTACCGGGCAAAGCAGCGAGAGAACCTCTTTATAGAGAGGGAGTAACAGCAAAGAGGTACAAGATTATGGAAAACCTTGACTGAGGAATACTCAGAATCTCAGTGTGAGTAGAGCGGGAAGCAGGTCGTGGTTGGGAGGTGGGAAATGGAGGAAGGGGTTCTGGAAAGGAAGACTGGAGTCAGATTGGAGAAAATGTGACAAATGCAAAGTAGTAAAGAGGAATTAAATGATTCTTGAACCTACCACTCATAGTAAATCACTTTTTTTAAAAAATTGGATGTATTTCCTTCGAGTTTTATAAAATTTTTTAAAAAAGATTTATTTGGAATACAAAGTGACAGAGGGAGAGAGATCTTCCATCTGCTGGTTCACTCCTCAAATGGCCACAACAGTCTGGGATAAGCCAGGCCAAGAGCAGAAACCCGGAACTCCATCTACATCTCCCACATGGGTGGCAGCAGCCCAAGTACCTGGGCCATCCTCTGCTGTTTTCCCATAATATTAGCAGGGAGCTAGATCTGAAGCAGAGCAGCCAGGACTTGAACCAGCACTACAATATGGGATTACAGCATTGCAAGCAATGGCTTAGCCCACTGTACCACAACACTGACCCCTGTAGCTCTTCTAAGTATAAAAGTGATAACTGGATCAAAAGCAAATAATTGTAAATGCAGAAAAGCACAGAATAAATACAAACAGTCCGTTGCCTTTCACTTGAAAAACTGCAACATTATGTTCTTTTTCTAATTTTTTTTTGTAAGATTTTATTTATTTGGGAGGTAGAGTTACAGAGAGAGGGAGAGACAAAAAGAAAGGTCTTTCAACCTCTGGTTCACTCCTCAAATGGTTGCAAAAGCTGGAATTACACCAACCTGAAGCCAGGAACCAAGAGCATCTTCTGGGTCTCCCATGCAGGTGTAGGGGACCAAGAACTTGGACCATCTTCCACTGCTTTCCCAGGCCATAGCAGAGAGCGGAATTGGAAGTGGAGCAGCCAGGATTTGAACTGGCGCCCATCTGAGATGTCAGTGCCACAGGTGGAGGATTAACCCACTGCACCACAGCACTGGCCCCCATTATATTCTTTATCAAGTTTGGTGATTTCATGGACAAGAAAAAGAAATTTAGCTATTTCTGTAGACAGATGTTTTCAGACAAGAAAGTAGTGTGTCAAGATTTGTTTTTAAGGGGTTGACACTGTGGTGTAGCAGGTAAAACCGCTGCTGTTTCGAGTGCTGGGTGCTCCACTTCTGATCCAGCTCTCTGCTATGGCCTGGGAAAGCAGTGGAAGACAGCACAAGTGCTTGGGCCCCTGCACCCACGTGGGAGACCTGGAAGAAGTCCTTGGCTCCTGGCTTCGGATTGGATCAGCCCAGCTCTGGCCGTTGTGGCCATCTGGGGAGTGAACCAGCAGATGGAAAACCTCTCTCTCTCTCTTTGTACTTCTGTCTCTGTAACTCTGCCTTTCAAATAAATAAATAAATCTTAAAAAATTAAAAAAAAAAAGATTTGTCTTTAAAAAGAGATCACTGATAGTGGTATTAGTTTGGAAGCTGAACAAAAGGAGGAGGAGACTACAGACAGAGAGATGTCTATGGCAAGCCCTTTACTGTTCCTTTTAACTTTTTGAGGTTTGGACAAAGAAACCTGTTTGATCCCAGCTGTGCAGGAACCAAAGTTTCCCCAGAACTACAACCTTGTGACAGAGAACCTTGCCCTGACAGAATACACCTTGTACTTGGGATTTCACAGGTAACTCCCCTGATGTCATTAGGAAAGAACTAGTTGTATTGATAACCAGAGTTTGAAAGTGAGTCTTAGAGATATAATCTCACTTTATGCTAAAGGCTCCCATTAGAACCTCGTATAAAAAAGGCATTATATGTATTTATTTGTGTTTACATGAATGAGTTTTGTCCAGATTACTTAAATTTGTTTTGAATTTTTTATCTGTTTAACTTTTTAAAATTAAAAGATACACTAATGTTTTTCTCTACATTTGCAAGTTTTTGATTCCTATTGTCATCTGGGAAAGTGAAATTTTTTTCATTTTACATTTAACTTTTTGCTTTTGGATTTTTATTACTCACTACTCTGGATGGGAAAAAAAAAGCAAGCTCTATAATATAGAGACAAAGCTGGAAAAAAATTAAGAAAATATTTATAAGAGATTCTGATGAGAATAATAGGACCATAAAAGACCTATGATTAAAATAAAGGGGATTTAAGGAGGGTGTAGGTTTGAGAACTAGAGTGTATGGTTCCAAAAAAATGGTTCTGGTTCTGGATAGCCCCATGTCCTCCTACAATATTTTTTTTCTGCTTTAGCTGATTATAGCTATAAATATAAATAAGTGGGGAAAAGTAGCAGTTTAGTCAGTTACAGTCTACAGGAATAAGTATTAGGGTTAGAAATTTTTATTGTCTTCTCAGGATACTTAATGACATAGAGCATTTTTCAAAATCCTCAATTTAACAAATTAGTGGGAAATGATAAAATTATGTCTTTATTAGAGGATTTTTTACCCCTTGACATTATAAATAAAATGATAAAAGTTCACCATGCTCTTAACCTGCTCAGTTATCTGGATTTAAAAACAAAAATGAATATCATCTAGTTTCTCAACTAACTAGCACTAGACAGTATCCACAGGGCCAAAGGAGATGATTTTGAACTGTATACATGGAAACAATTATCTATAACTTGGAATTATGGGGCCGTTTTTTTCAGTAAAGAATATTCGAATGACTTTTTATGAAGAATAATTCAATTTTATATTGAACAACAGAAAGCTGGAAACTGCACTTAGCTTGCATCCCAGTGGTCACTGGTTTAATTGTCTTGCTAATCGAAAGTTCAAAAAATATATATATAATAAATAAAGTCTCTTTTCACCAGCTTAATGGTCTGTTAATCATAGACAGGTCATCCATGTAATCCCATCAAAGTATGATCATCACACTTGTGTGGGGTAAAGCTGTCCTGCCGGGCTTCTTGTACTTTGCTTAATAACGGCCACTGTACACCCTGCTCAGCTGTTTGTTGGATGGTGCGTTTCAGCTAAAGGCTGCTGTTTGTAATTAGCTTCAATTATGTTGACTGTAGCATTTTCCCAGTGCTGTGCACCCTGCCTCTGTCCTGTCTAAAACTTCTGTGTGTGCCCTCTGCTGCCCACTGTATCATCACAGAGAATGCCAAAATAAGTAAAGGAAGATTTGTTTTTCTGGGATGGACTTTACTAGACTGTTCCGTATGAGCCCCCCTGACCCAATGTTGTTTGCTTTCTTCGGGGCAGGTTGCATGATCAGATGGTCAAAATCAACCAAAACCTGCATCGGCTACAGGTCGCCTGGCGGGATGCCCAGCAAAGCTCTAGCCCTGCTGCTGACAGTCTCCGTGATCAGTTTGAGCGGCTGATGACCATCTATCTTTCTACCAAGACGGCGATGACTGAGCCACAGATGCTGCAAAATTGCCTCAATTTACAGGTGTCCATGGCTGTTTTGTTGGTTCAGCTGGCCATAGGCAACGAGGGCTCACAGCCTGTAGAGCTGACTTTTCCTTTGCCAGATGGCTACAACTCTTTGGCTTATGTGCCAGGTAAGCAGGTTCTCTCTTGAGTACTTTTCTATTTATAGCCATCTGAGTGTTAACTAGGTCACTTTGGAAGTTTAATCTTCAAAACAGCCTTCCTTAATTATCATTCAGTTGTTTTTGGGAAAACAAACTTGTAGATGATACCTGCTGGCCAAAATATGGGGGAGGGGGACTAATGGTTTGTTCTTCAGCCTTATGTCCCCATTGCTGTGCACAACAGAAAATAGTCTTCAAAGGATGAAATGTGGTTCAGGTTTTCTAGACTATTTATTTCTATAATTAATATATTGTCTGTTGTTCAACTTGCAAATGTGTCTTAACTCCCCCTGTGCTTTAATTAGGAAAAATATCACCTGTCCGTTAACCCAGCAGGGAGGTTGTATGTGGATATTTGTGTCCGTGAGGGGCCAGCAGGTGTTCCCATGGAGTCAGTTGATGTGTTCTGAAGCACTGTATTGGTCATATATTGCTGTGTAGCAAGTCACCTCAAAATATAACAGCTTGAAATAGCAAACATCACACCATATCTGTGGGTCAGGAATACAGGCACCCTCAGCTGTTTGACTCTAACCTGGAGTCTCATGAAGTTGCAGCCAAGCTGTCAGTCAGGACTCTAGGAATCTGAGGCCATGACGGGCTAGAGGATCCACTTCCAAACCCAGTCATGTGGTTATTCACAGGCCTCGGTTACTAGTGCTATTAACCAACAGCCCCTCTTCCTGGACATGTGTGTGGCAGCTGGCCTACCCCAGAGTGAGTGAACAAAATGCAAGCTACAAGTTTTTACAACATAATCTTGGAAATGGGGCCAGTGCAGTGGCTCAGTGGATTAAAGATGTGGCCTGCAGCACTGGCATCACATATAGGCACTGGTTTGAGTCCTGGGTACTCCATTTCCCATCCAGCTGCCTGCTAAGGTGCCTTGGAAAGCAGCAGTCACTAGCCCAAGTATTTGGGCCCCTGCACCCACGTGGCTCCTGGTTTTGGCCTGGCCCAGTCCTGGCTGTTTTGGCCTTTTGGGGAGTAGACTAGTAGATGGAAGATCTCTCTCTCTCTCTCTCTGTCCATCTCTCCTCTCTGTAACTCTGCCTTTCAAGTAAATAAATCTTTAAGAAAAAGGAAAACCTTGGAAATGACATACCACCAGTTCCACTGTCTGTCTCCTGGTATGCCTTCTACCCTGGAATAGTATGAGAAGGGCCCACAAAGGTACAAATACTGGGAGGCAGGGATCCCTGGAGGCCCTCCTGGTGTCTCACTGCTATGGCCATCTCATGTAAAAATATGCATTAGTGCAGCTACAAACATCTGAAGCATTGATGGCAACCAAGTTAATCCTGAGAATGAAAAACATCTTGGTATACTAGCCTATTAATGACCTTTTGGCCGGCGCCACGGCTCACTAGGCTAATCCTCCGCCTAGCGGCGCCAGCACACCGGGTTCTAGTCCCGGTCGGGGCGCCGGATTCTGTCCCGGTTGCCCCTCTTCCAGGCCAGCCCTCTGCTGTGGCCAGGGAGTGCAGTGGAGGATGGCCCAGGTGCTTGGGCCCTACACCCCATGGGAGACCAGGAAAAGCACCTGACTCCTGGCTCCTGCCATCGGATCAGCGCGGTGCGCCGGCTGCAGCACGCCAGCCGTGGCGGCCATTGGAGGGTGAACCAACGGCAAAGGAAGACCTTTCTCTCTGTCTCTCTCTCTCACTGTCCACTCTGCCTGTCAAAAAAAAAAAAAATGACCTTTTGTATCACTAGAGTTTATATATTTACTTTGATAAAAATAGAAATTGACTTACGTGTAAAGGTGTGACTTACCATCATTCCTGGCACTGACAAGATATTTGAAGTTTTTTAACATTAAGTAGAGAGAAAGGAATTAGAATGTTTGGTCTTGTTAGATGTTTGACTAATTCGAGTGAATATTTTCTGTTACAGAATTCTTTGCAGATAACCTTGGTGATTTCCTCATTTTCCTCCGCCGCTTTGCTGATGACATCTTGGAGACATCAGCGGATTCCCTGGAGCATGTCCTTCACTTTATCACCGTTTTCACTGGAAGCATAGAAAGGTGAAGTGCTGAAAGCCTGGCTCTATCACTATTAGAGCTGCAAAATGCTCAAGAGACTTCTATGCCAAGAAATAAACAAGCCTGAATCATAAGGGGTTGCCTTCAGAAGTTACGTTAACATTAATGAATCACCTGACCATCCTTATGGGTAGCCAAAAATCCCACTGTTGAGAGGCATAATAAGCAAAGGAATTTGCCCACAGAGAATCTGAACCTACGCATAAGGTACCTGCTGGGAATTCCACTCCTAGTCCCTGGTTAAAATAGTTGCCATAATGCCAGAAACCTTACCAGTGGCAGCCAGGTGCTAATGATCTTATAATAATTGTATGACAACAAAGTTTGCTCTTTTCTGAGTTGTATGAGCAGGAAACTTGGGTCAGTATTATTTCTGACCTCAAGTCTTCTCATAGCTTCTAGTGTTCTTTCCAAAAGGAAGATAACTATCACTTATAGAGTTGTTTCCCTGATTTTTTTTAATTTTTTAAAATTTTATTTATTTATTTGTTTTGGCATGTATGCCAAAAGAAGCAGAAACTATTTATAAAAGTGAAGATTAGGAGCCAGCGTTATGGTGTACCGCAGGTTAAGCCGCAGCCTGTGACACCAGTATCCCATGTGGGCAGCTGACCCAGTTGCTCCATTTCCAATCCAACTCCCTGTTAATGTGCCTGGGAAAGCAGCAAAAGATGGGCCAAGTGCTTGGGCCCCTTCTACACATGGGAGACCTAAAAGAAGCTTTGGGCTCCTGGCTTGGGCCTGGCATAACCCTAGCCATTGTGACCATTTGGGGAGTGAACCAGAGGATGGAAGATACCTCCTTCTCTCTCTTTCTTTCTCTCTGCCCCCCTTTCCGTCCCTCTGTGTAACTCTGCCTTTCAAATAAATAAAAAATAAATCTTTTTTTTTTAATGAAGATCTGCTGCACACTAGAGTGACCCACAATTTCCTAGGCCAAGTCAGTGAGAAGTAGATAGAAGCTGGTCCTCCACTGAGCTGAGCAAACCTGATGGAAAGTCATGGGTCAACAAGTGTTCATTAGACAAACATTGTGTACACTGCAGGTAATGTAAGATAATTACAGCAAGTTTATCCGGGATGAAGCTATCAGAGAATCATAGTAAACAGTATATAGTGGATTGTTATAAACAAGAGAACAGAATGGCTAAACATTAAATACAGACTGAAGTACTCACCCTTTTCCTTTGTAAGCTGTCATCTCAAGGGTTAAATGGTACATCCTGAATCACCACCACCCCCTCACCCCACAAAAAATGGCAAAACTGCACAAGCGGATCCTGTTTTCTCCTGTCACGATGGTATAGGATATTTTGGCTCCTCATGTGGAAAGATCAGAGTCCTAAATTTGGGAGATAAGTGTACCTGCTCACCTCACTTTTTGCCCTATCTGCAGAATGAAGAATCCCCATCTAAGGGCCAAACTAGCTGAGGTGTTGGAAGCAGTGATGCCCCATCTGGACCAGACCCCAAACCCCCTGGTATCCAGCGTGTTCCATCGGAAACGTGTGTTCTGCAACTTTGCACATGCACCCCAACTTGCAGAAGCGCTGATCAAGGTTTTTGTGGACATTGAGTTCACAGGTAAAGCAGCCGTGCAGCCAGGTGCAGAACCGAGAGGTTGATAGCAGTGGGGTTTCATAGCTCAGTTTTTGAACACCAGAGAAATGTCAAGCCCCCATTTACTAAGTACCTACAGTAGACCAGGCTTTCCTCATATCCCTCTGAGAAGTTTGCCCATTTTACATATGAGGACTTGGGTGCCCAATAGAACTGTATCATACAACTAATAAGTGGTAGAACCAGCTGTTTCTCACCTTAAATAACGCTTACCTCCTGTACTACATGGGTTGATTAAATCATACTCAAATTATGTTGTCTGGTTAAACCTGGGTTGTCATTAGACCTGCAGAAGAATGGATAATGAGCCAGTGGTGCTGAGGAAGAGATTCCTTTACCTCGACTAGGCTGTCTGACATCCAGAGCAAGGATGCCAGCAGACAGCGTTCTGTTTCCCTCTGCCCTAAGCCCCTAGGCTTGATCAAACAGTGCCCTAACTCAGCCAGTAGACAAGCCAGGCAATTGGTTGAGACCCTTTCTAAGGGGATGTCTTACCACCCAGTGATAAGTACAACTAACGTTTAAAGAAGCATTGAACATTTTACTGGCAGCCTTCCATATTTGGATTCTGGCTTTCTCAACTCAGATCCTTCGTTTCCTCATCTGTAAAGTGGGTGATGATTCAGTGAAATAGTCCATAACACATAGAAGTTGTATAGAAAGTCACGGCAGTTATCTCATTGTGTGACTGTATTGTGGTACCGTTTCTGTGTTTTCTCAGAAAGTGGAAGTTGAACAAAGCTGGAAACCTGCATTACACAGAGCCAGAATGTAAACCTAGTTCTAACTTCAAGTCCTTTACTCTCCCTTTATTCTGTGACCTGTCCTGTGGAGCTCTAATGATGCCTTCGGTATTTCAGATGAGATCGGGCGCGTTCAGGGTGGTATGGCCGTAGACGCCTTCGATATTTTAGAAGTGTAAAAACCCTTAGGTTCTTAGCTCCTGGCCTGATTTTTCCAGAGTAATCAAGAACCATTTGGCTACACAGTTGGATATTGAAGAATGCAAGGACTACTTAGTATCCCATTCTGCACGTGGCTTTCACTGCCACCATGGCCAGTTCAGGAGGCCTCATTCAGCGTCTGATGAGTACACCACATTGGGTTGTGGACACATTTGTTTCCCTTGACACTTGTTCTTCCTTTTTTCTTTCCTACCAGTTTGGTCCTTTGTCGCTCCCCCTCTTCGTGGAGGAACGACACTAAACCATGCCCAGGCTTCATATCCGAGTCACGGCACCATTATGTCGCTCCCCCTCTTCGTGGAGGAACGACACAGGACCCTGCGCTGTTCTTTTGTCTGCTCGGCCCTCCCTGGGTTTGCTGCTGGTTCTTCCCGGGTTGGCTACCATCCCTTCCACCTCCGTGGAAGGGCGGTTCCCCCTGGCCACTTTCCCCACTTCCACTGGGGAGCGGCACACCGCCGGCCGGCTCTCTCGGGGGCTGCACAGGTGTTCCTTCAGATAGATGTTCCCCTTAGATAGATGTTCTTGGTGCATGTTGTCTCTCTCCTCCTTTATAGTCCTCTTCCGCCAATCCCAACTTGGCTGCCCACACGCCGAGTACGCTGCTCTCCTCCAATCAGGAGCAGGATCAGCTCCTGGAGGTCATCACTCAAGTTGGCAAGAGGCAGCTGCGTAGAAGCTGTTTGCTCCTCTCCCAGCGCCATATTGTGGGAGAGCAGATGCATAGAATAAGTCTTAATTCCAGTAACTTAGTCTAGTCCGAGTTGCTCCCCACAGTCCTTGTCCCTTGCTGGGTAAAGTATTCTTTACATCACTTTCCCCCAGGTTCCTAGTAAGGAGATGAGTAAACACTGGGCCACAACCCTAGGCATTTAGAAACTCCCAGTGCAGACTTTTTCCTCCCAGATTTATAGTGACATATAGTAATTGTACACATTTATGGAATACAGTGTGAAGTTTCACTACATGTGTATATTGTGTAGTAATCAAATCAGGATCATTACCACATTTATCACCTCAAACATTTATTGTTTCTTTGTGCTGATAACATTTGGGATCTTTTTCTAGCTGTCTTGAGATATATGACACATTATTAGCTGCAGACAACCTTACCAGGTAATAGAGCACCAGAACCTATTCTTTGTATCTCACTGCAACTTGTACACACTGACTGACCTTTCTAGTCCTTACCATCTAACCTGACCCCCTCAGGGCAAATTTTGTCAGTGGTTTTGTCACTCACAATGAAAGAAAAGGACTCCACACAGCCCTTGGCTCTACTCTGTCCCTAATAGCACTACCTTTCTGATGTTTTGTTCTCCAGGAGACCCTCATCAGTTTGAACAGAAGTTTAATTATCGCCGTCCCATGTATCCCATCCTAAGATACATGTGGGGGACAGATAACTATCGGGAGAGCATTAAGGTGAGAGTTTCTGGTGAAACCAGTTGCTTCGGATAGGCCCCAGTGAGTTGTGATTCAGTACTGAAATGGTTTTCTCTTGGGCTGGAACTTACAGGATTTGGCTGACTATGCCTCTAAGAATTTAGAAGCCATGAATCCCCCACTTTTCCTTCGCTTTCTTAACCTACTAATGAACGATGCCATCTTCCTTTTGGATGAAGCCATACAGGTAAAGATTGAACTGTACCCACACCATCAAAGCATCATGAATATTTCTATCTTTGTGATTACACTAAAGCAATCCTTATGCCCCTAGTACTTGAATACCAAAATCTGTTAGTAGTAGTGCAGCTCCAGGCTTGCATTCCAGAGCTCTCTGTTAGTGTTCTGTTAGAGAAGGGCCTTGAGCTAGAATGGATAACTTTGGCAGGAAGTGCACTGACAGGAATAATCGGGCCAGCACTACAAGAGGCAATCAGAGGATATTGCTTTGTGATTTTTGCACTAGTACTTTAAAAAAAATCTGGTTTGTGTTATTTTGTCTTAAAAAGGCTTTAAGTAATCATTACTCTTCATCTATACATTGCTTCCTAAATCCTTAGCTATATTGTGAAACATAGGTGTTAGACTAAGTTTAACATGTTGTTTGCTACAACAGCAAGAACGCTGAGATTTAAATAATTATGGTTCTCCTTCCATACACCTTGCATATTTGATAGAGCTTTGATTTTTGGTAAGCAGTGTTTTTGGAGGCTTTCTTTTAATTGGAGCGGGGGTGATTTTTGTCTTTCAGAGAGAATTCATTGTCGTCATTTTTTCACTGTTGCTTGTTGTTGGCCTGGGTTTTCTACATTATACTATTTATCCTCCTTTCTACAATACTGTCCTGTTTCTAGAGGACAAACCTTTGAATACCCAAGCTAAAACAAATCTGAAGGCAGAACTTTGCTTTTTCTCTAAAAGTGCTCTCTAAACTTTAGCCCTGTGCTCACAGACTCAAGTCTCTTGTGGTCTCTGGTTTTCCCAGCTTAGTTAGCTGGATTTTAGATAGGACCTCTGAAATGCCCTGTTCCTCCAGCTGCGCTTCTCCCTCTGACCTCTGCCCCTCTGGTTTCTGTAGTATTTAAGCAAGATAAAGATTCAGCAGATCGAGAAGGACCGAGGTGAATGGGATGGCCTGGCTCCAGAGGCCCGCCGAGAGAAGGAGGCTGGCCTGCAGATGTTTGGGCAGCTGGCACGTTTCCATAACATCATGTCCAATGAAACAATCGGTACCCTGGCCTTCCTGACATCAGGTAAAGAGATAAGGCACCGTTTCCCCAGAAGATCTGCTTCATGGAGAAATCTGCCAGCTGAAACCAAGAATTCAGACTAGTGACAGCACATCGGAGGGAATGACTCACTAGAAAAGCTTCCCGCTGTTGACATGGGAATGAGGAAACGGTCTTCCTCACAGAGCCCCCAGAAAGCATAAGTCAGGCAGATCTTTCTGGAGGACAGGTTAGCCACGAGAGAGAGAGAGAGAGAGAGAGAGAGCGCGAGCATGTGTGTGTGAGAGACAGAGAGAGAGTGTGTGTGTGAGAGAATATCTGAAAAATAATCTTGAATCCTGGTTAAATATAATATCTGGGTACTTTTCATAATGACTTTTAGTGCCTCAGTTAAAAGTGACAACCAGTGATTCCCAGACACCTGAGTAGCTAGCTCCTCTAATGTGAAATACAGATAATAGATGAAAACTTTTAAAAAATCTTTGTAATCTCAGGAATGAGAGAAGATACAGCAGTCACATAAAAAGAATAAAGAGGCTAAAAGAATAAGAGCTTTTGGATACTAAAACTATGTACTTCAGGATTTTAACTATTCAGGAGAATCTCAATGAAGTCGTCCATAAAGAAGAACAGAAGGAAAAGAGATGGTAATTAAAAGAGAAAAAAGGATTAGGAAAGGAAAGATAGGTCTAACCTGGATGGAGTTCCTGCTGCTAGCTTTCACCTAGCCCAGCCCTGACTGTTGCAGCCATTTGAGGAGTGAACCAGTGGATGGAAGCATTCTGTCTCTTTCACTCTTTATTTTCTTTCAGTGTCACTCTACCTTCAATAAATAAATCTTTAAAGAAAAAAGATAGGCCTAAGAAAGTCTCAAAAGAGAAAAATATAGCAGAGGAATTTATTAATACCGAAAGATTCTCCAAGATTCAGAAACAGACTAAATTCAAGTGCTAAGCGTCCTGTACAGAATTTTTTAAAGCTCACACTAAGCTGGATCACTGTGAAATTTCAGGAAATCGGGGTACAGGGAAGCCCCCAGACAGGTCCCAAAGAAGAGTCAGGTCATGGCATGGTTCCAGTATCAGAATGGCTTTGAATTTCACAGCAGTGACATCTAAAGCTGGGACATGTTTCTGAGGGAAAATATTTTTTTTGGGTTTAGAATCCTATGGCCAGCGCTGCGGCTCACTAGGCTAATCCTCCGCCTGTGGCACAGAATCCTGTAGTCGGCTATCGGTTGAGTTTGCTGGTAAAATAAGGGTACTTTCAGCTGGGAAGGTATCCAGTCGCCTTCCAGTATACCATTTCCTGGGAAGCTGCTAAAAGACATCCCGCTCAGAGTGAAGGAGTAAACCTAGGAGGAGGAAGGTGAAGTCCCACACGAGGGAGGCACACCAAAGATTCCCTAGATGATGGTGGAGGTGTGTGACCACTGCACGGCAATCTAGGCTGCAGCAAAGCACTGAAACGTCCAGAAAAAAATGTCTCCACAAAGTAAAGAACAGCTAAAAATAAACACTTTGAATGTTTTATAATTCCAGTGAAGATTCTGGAAAGGATTTAGTGATAGGTACTCTGAAAATAAGCAAACAAAATCAAAAAGTTACAATAAAGTTGTTTCAGACACCACATGGCCCTGCTGTAAATGATACTGACATGATCTTAAATGATATAACTAAGTTATGTAACCAAATATTTGATTAGCTATTTGGGAGATTTTGTTTAGGGAAGAAGGATAGCAAGTAGAGCTAAGGCATTATCTGTGGAACATTGAATAGATAATGACTAAAACTGAAAAAAAACTGTAGTACTTAGTGGCAGACTTACTCTCTGCCTTATAAAACTTGGCATATGTCAACTAATTTTTAAAAATTTTTGGATTTCATGCCTGTGATGTAGCAAGTTCCTCACAAATTTGTGAAGTCACAAAATATGTATACAATGAGATTAGATTGATCAGTAAGTAAAATGTTTATAATGGTAAAAAAAATTGAAAACAATATCTGTCAAAAAAGATTAAATAACTATGGTACAATCACTGACTGGAAAACTGGCCATTCACAATGGTGTAAATTGGGTTGGGCATTTGGCCTAGCAGTTAAGACACTTATGGTCCACACCAGAGGACCTGGGTTTCGCTCCTCTGCTCCAACTTGGATTATAGCTTCTTTTTAATGCAGACCCTGGGAAGCTGCGTTGATGGCTCAGGTAGCCAATTCCTGCCACCCATGGGGAGACCTGAATTAAGTTCTCAGCCTCTGCCTTTGGGCCCGTTCCCCCAAATGTTACTGGCATTTGGGGAGTGACCAGTGCATTGGAGCTCACTCTTTCAATCTGCTTCTCAAATTAAAAAAAAAGGGGGGATAGGTTTGAATCATCTGTATTCTATTGATACTTTATGTAGTGATGAAAATCTTCTATAAATCTGGGCTGTCTAGTACTGTATATATTTGTTGAACACTTGAAATGTGGCCAGTGCAACTGTAGAACTGAATTTTTATTTTAGTTAATTTAAATTTTAAAAGCCACATGTGACCAGTGGATACCATTTTAGAGGGCACAGGGACATACATTTATTAAAATGGTAAAATATTATTGATATAGTGACTGAAAACAGCAAGTTACGGAATATGTACAATATGATAATCAATTTTGCTTAAAAATATGTATGCATGTAAATATGGATAGAAAAGGTAGGTTATATAGTGGAATATTAATAGTAGTTAATTTATCTCTGGGTGATAGTTTTTGGAGATTTTTTTTACTGTTTTTTTGCTTATCTATTTCTGCAATGAAAATGTATTATTTATGTAGTAAAAATAAAAGTAGTCCCAGAGGCCTGCAGGACAACTAGACATAATAAGTAGAAGATTGCAAAGCTGAGTTTATTTAAGATACTGACTTCTTTTCCAGAGATCAAATCACTTTTTGTGCATCCCTTCCTGGCTGAGCGCATCATCTCCATGCTGAACTACTTCCTGCAGCACCTGGTCGGCCCCAAGATGGGTGCCTTAAAAGTCAAGGACTTCAGTGAATTTGACTTCAAACCCCAGCAGCTCGTATCAGACATCTGCACCATCTACTTAAATCTCGGGTACATGAGATTGGAATCGGGCAAGCCAAAGGGAGGCTGAATATTTTCATCCGGGGCTTTGATGGTAGAATGACTGGTTGGCAGCTGTGTAGAAATGGAAAAGAAACATTTCATTTCTAATTGGTTGGTGAAGGAATCTTATGTAGTTTTAAATTAGGAGATTTTGTATGACCCATGGTCATAGCTTAGCATTGCCAACATTCTGCCTTGATCCATGCAAAGATAACCTGTTGTACTGTTGTTTGGAAAAGTATTCCTTTAAGGCCAGGGTATACTTGGTAGGTATGTTCCTTCCCGGAACATGAGCCATCTTTCTAGATCAGAAGAACATTCGGGCTTGCAAGTGGTGAGAATGCTTGTTGTGCAGTGCTTCTGTTGTCCCCCTCACTGACCTACCTCTGGTGCTCAGTGACCTTCTGTGCCTGACCTTGCAGGGATGAGGAGAATTTCTGTGCCACCGTGCCCAAGGATGGACGATCCTATTCCCCAACTCTCTTTGCACAAACAGTCCGAGTCCTGAAGAAAATAAATAAACCAGGGAATATGATTGTGGCTTTTAGCAACTTGGCAGAGAGAATCAAGGTGAGGAGGAGAATTTGTGTGCTAACATACCTAATAAAAGTCACTATACCAGGGTAGGCGTTGTGGTGCACTGGGCTAAGCCACTGCTGAGGATGCCTACATCCATGCTGCAGTGCCTGGGATCGAGCCTGATCAGCTTCCTCTGCTGGGAGGCAACAGATGATGGCCCAGGTACTTGGGTTCCTGCCACCCACGGGGGAGACCTGGATGGAGTTCCTGGCTTCAGCCTGGCCCAGCCCTGGCTGTTGCAGGCATTTGGAGAGTGAACCAGCAGATGAAAGATCTCTTTCTCTCTCTGTCCCTTTCTTTCTTTCCCTTCCTGCCTCACTGCCTCATCTCTCAAATCAGCCAATCAAAAATTTTTTTGAGAAAAAAAAGTCATATGGTCTAAGACTTAGACATGCTGCTTTTCACCCTGTTTCAGGAAGACAAAGAGCATTGTCTTGAGAAATGTAGAAGCCGGTGCTGCTTCCAGATCAGACAATAACTAGAACTAACATTTTCTTATTACTAACACTGTTTTTGGCGTGAAAGAACACAAAGTTAAGAAACTTCTACTAGAAGAAGAGAATGTACACATTTACATAGGCCGTTTTTACAGAAACTTATGCACAGTACTATCAGTAGGTTTGAAAATCTAGAATGTTAATCCAAAGGAACTTTTTTAGAATTAAATTCAAGATAGGTAGTTTTCATTCATTGGTTTTTATTTCTCTGTTCTTTGTATTTGCAGTTGGTAGTTGGTTTATACTGGGATATCCATACAATTTAAAGATTAAAGTACTGCATTGCCTTCAGCTAATCCCTTTGGTTGGAGTTTGAGAGAACATTAGAAGGGGTGGAAAAGGAGAAAATAGGACACACAAGACTCATGAAAAACCCTCCTTACTGATAAGTGTTCCCTCATTGAGTTTCTTTTTTATTGCATTGAGCTCCTTCTTGGGCTGGAGCTTAGACAGATCCCTGAGGAACTTGAGTTGTGAAGGAATCAGATGTAGAAGTCAGTTTTAAATTCCTATTCCTGTTTGTACCAAAAACCTGAAACTGGCCGGCGCCACAGCTCACTAGGCTAATCCTCTGTCTGCGGCGCCAGCACACCGGGTTGTAGTCCCGGTTGGGGCACCGGATTCTGTCCTGGTCACTCCTCTTCCAGTCTAGCTTTCTGCTGTGGCCTGGAAGTGCAGTGGAGGATGGCCCAAGTGCTTGGGCCCTGCACCCACATGGGAGACCAGGAGAAGCACCTGGCTCCTGGCTTCGGATCGGCGCGGTGCAGCGGCCACTGGAGGGTGAACCAATGGCAAAAGGAAGACCTTTCTTCCTGTCTCTCTCTCTCCGTCCACTCTGCCTGTCAAAAAAAAAAAAAAAAAAAAACCTGAAACTGCTTTTTGTCCATGGGCTCACGAGTGACTCTTACTATGCTAGCAGTACCCTCCCACCCCTGCCGACCACCACTCTTCTGAACGGGGCATTTGTAACAGAACTGCTGCTGGAAGAATGTTGGGTCTATGTGGTATTACTTTTCCTGCCAACACTCAAACCCATTTCCAGTCTAGCCTGAAGTTTCAGATTTGGGGATGGCTGCTAAATTTGCACCTGAAATATCCACTTTGGCTTTTCTTGAGAAAATAAAGTTAAGCTTTCTCATGATCACTGTCAAGGGTAATTAGTGAGCAGGATTCAGGTGTGGTCGCTGAGGATTCTGAATTGAGCTGCACTGTGAAGTCACTGAGACTCGTGGGTGTTGTGTGCTCAGTCACTTGCAGACCTGCAGCAGCAGGAAGAGGAGACCTACGCTGACGCCTGTGACGAGTTCCTGGACCCCATCATGAGCACACTGATGTCGGACCCTGTGGTGCTGCCGTCCTCCAGAGTCACCGTGGACCGGTCCACCATCGCCAGACATTTACTGAGGTATGCCAGTCCCCAGAGCAGCCGTGGGAGCTCAGGGCCATGCTCCTTTACTGTCAGTTTTTACTCCTTGGTGCCTACTACAGCACTTTGCACCCAGTGGGTGCCCCATACTATTGATTTGTGGATGTGTTGGGTAGGCACTTTGGAGTTAGTTGATTGTGAAGAATTTAAATATTCAAAACATGTTTTATAATCTGTCAACATGTAGTAGATGTGGACCCAAAATTGTTTTAATTTTATTTTAGTTGTAAAAATATGAGACAAAGTTTTTTTCACTGAAGTTTTATACCATATTCATCATATGAGTTACCTCACATTTTGTTGCTCTCATCCTGTTCAGCCATGATAACCCTGAGTTTCCCCCAGCTTGCCTGCTCTTAGACAGCATGCCCCTGATATCTACAGAAAACAAAGTAATAAATACTGCAGGAACAATGTAACAAATAGTAGCTGATTTACTGCCTGAATAGCCCCTTAACTTTTTTAAGTGCAACATTGATAGAAATGGGTACTGACTCTTTCAAACTATATAAGTTGAGGGGCAATTGCTTGGCCTAGTGGTTAAGGCACTGGTTGGAACACCTGCATCCCATATTAGAATGCTTGGGTTTAAGTCCCAGCTCCACTCCTGATTCTAGCTTCCTGCTAATGCACACCATTGGAGGTAAAAAGTTCTTGGGTCCCTGGATTGAGTTCCTGGCTCCTGGGTTCGCCAAGTGCAGCCCAGGCTGATACAGGCATTTGGAGAGTGAACCAGGGACAGGAGCTCTGTCTGTTTCTGTCTGCCTCTCTCTCTCTGCTTCTCAAAATAATTTTAATTCTATAAATTGACTCAAATTTAGAGACTTTTTAAATATTGAAAAAAGTGAATTTTCTGTCTCATGGTATTTGGTATTAGACATTTGCTAAAAACATGATGCTGTGCTAGGAGGTATGTCTTCTCCATTGGGCTGGCCTTGTGGTATAGCATGTTAAGCCACCATCTGCAAAAGGGAATCCCACATGGGTGCCAGTTCAAGTCCCAGCTGCTCTACTTCCTATGCAGCTCCCTGCTGATGGCCTGGGAAAACAATGGAGGATGGCCCAAGTGCTGGGGTCCCTGCACCCACGAGGGAGACACAGGAGAACCCCCTGGCTCCTGGCTTCGGCCTGGCCCAATCCCTGCCATTACAGCCATTTGGGGAGTGAACCAGTGGATGGAAGACCCCCTTTTTCTTTGTCTCTACCTCTCTCTCTAACTCTGTCTTTCAAATAAATAAAATAAATCTTTTTTAAAAATTTGTATTTTATAGTGGCTATGCCTTAGGGAAATCTAAAAGTTGGCAACATAAAGAGAGCACTTTTAAGCCACTGGAACAAACACCATCTGCACACTGGTGTTGAATAAAGTTTAAGAGACAGAGAAGACAGTAGATTTTTTAAAAATTGAATCATTCCTTTCTTATCTCATTCTTTCTAACCCCTAAGTGAACATCTGGCATTTGACTCAAAGCTGTAGTGCACTCCTGGCTTCAGTCTCAAAGTGAGGTCCCTAGGTGTTCTGTTTTTGGCTTAGGATTTTAAAGTTTATGGAAATAACCTCATTTCCCTTTCTCTCTTTGTTCCAGTGACCAAACAGATCCCTTTAACCGCAGTCCCCTCACCATGGACCAGATCCGGCCAAATACAGAACTAAAGGAAAAAATTCAACGGTGGCTCGCAGAAAGGAAGCAGCAACAAAAGGAGCAGCTTGAATAAATACTGTGAACTAAACAAGCCAGAACCAACCCTGGAGTGCAGATAAACAATTGTTTGTGGTTTCTCTTTCTAGTTCTGTTCCTTTCCTTTTTCTTCTGTTTTTTTTTTTTTTTTTTTTTTTTTTTTTTTTTTTTTTTAAACTAAATTAGAGAACTGCTGTTGCTCAAATTATAATTAAGATTCCTAAGAACTTGACAATGCTCCCCTGGCTTGCAAGAAATTATAATTCTTATAGCATCACCACATTTAGAAGTAATCACTAATTTTCACCTTCCAGTTCTCTTCCTATTCTTCCTTTTTCCTTCCCTTGCTTTAAATTATGTTCACTTTAACTACTTAAAATGTCTGCCACCTTACTATTTCTCTTCCAAGTGTTGCTCAAATGTTTTTGGTGGGCACTGCTTTTCCATCTAGGAAGTCCCATATTTCAGTGACAGCTGATGTTTTCAGAAACCCTTCAGTTATCCTGTGTGTTTACTAGTTCTCTAGATCTAGACTTAAGCCCTTTTCCTAGGTACAGAATAACTTTTCACATAAAAGCAGATACCTTGATGTTTGTGTAGGCTTTTTGAATAAGATGGATAGGTGAGATTTTAAAGGAACAAAAGAGGAATCTTACATAACTTTTGTTGGTAGCTCCCAGTTTTGTCATCTTGTAACACAATGGGATCGTCATCATGGAAAATTGAGCCTACAGTCTTTTTGGTGAAGCTTTATAGGGCAAATTTGCAGTTTTGACACTTCATTCAGAAAAATTCTGAGGTGAAGGAATATACAGGAGGTTGTTGTGCCCATTTTTTTTTCTCCTAGGAAAATCTGTTGCTACAAGAACTGGGCCTGAGTAGAAGAGTTAAGCAACAAACATTGTAACGATGAACAGTGTCATTCTCAGGTACTAATATGGACATTCTGTGTCAGTGTACAGGTGCATACACTGTGTTTATACTGGTCTAGTGTAAACTGGGTACAACTTTGTGTTGCCTCTTCCATGTGAGATGTAAGCCGTGTATGGCTGTGCTGACAAATACAGTTCTGAGGCTATCAAATGTATATAATTAATGTTTGTTTGGGCTTGTGACCTGACTCCTAAGAGCTGTTTCTAACACAGCTTTAGGTCATCAATGAACAAAATAGGAATTTGAGCAAAATTTTTTGTGCAAACCCTTTTAAATACCCACTTTAACCTGAGTAATTGGGAAAGGGACGGATCTTTTACAGGTTGAGCCTGAGCACCCTACTCATACTGCAGCTTCACGTGCTGAGTGAAGCATGGAACATCTCTATTACCTTCCCTCTCTGCCCAAAGATAGCACAAGTGACAAAAAAAAGGGGGTCATTGTTTCCTGTAGAGGACACTACATGGCCTCTTACGTAAGGTGAGAATAGTTTTATGATGTTCTAACACACGTTTCTGCCAGTCGTCCTTGGTTTCTTTTTGTCAATATCAGCTAAGGAATCTCAAATCCGAGAAGACCTCCCACCTTGGATATAAGTAGACATTGCATATTGCTGTGCTTATAAATGAAAGAAGGAAGTCTAGGATACATTTGTAAATGCCTGAATTTAAGATCAATTTAGTGTGCGCCCTGGGTCTTTGAGGCATGTGTTGACAGGATTGAAATGAGCTTCATTTCACATTTATTATCCTCCTTCACCTGAGAATGAACGGGGTCTGGAATCAGCTTCTTTCCACTGGCCAACCTAGTAAGATGGTTTCACTTTGAAAAGAAGGGGGGAGGGCAGAGTTTTGCAGAAAATGGGCACAAAACCTGAGAAGGCAGCTGGGTCCAGCAGCGTTTGGTCAGCAGTCTCTGTGCTGCCTCTAGTGTCTGTATTATACTTCTGTATTTAGCCTCCAAGACTATGAGCCTTTCCTGGCATTTTTTTTTTTTTTAAGCTCTTTTCCTGAAACTGTATGAATGGCTGTGGCACCATTAATGCTGCTATCTTTACTCTCATCACAAAGGCAGGTGTGTAGCTTAAGGCCACCATTGGTGAAGAATCCAAGTGTCCTCTGTGCCTTTTTTCTTTCTGTGAAGTAACTTAAGGATATCCAAAAATGAGCCTTGAAAAAATTCCCACCTTGGTACAATGTATATACGCACTCGGAAAAGCTGCTGAGGTGTTCCATCTGAAACTCGGAAGCAGTGCTGAATCTGTGAGTGAGACTTCCTGACATGCCCAGTGTGTTGGCTTTGCAGGAGGACAATAGGATAAAGGAAGATTCCTGAGCCAGCTCTGGTATTGCTCATAACTTACCAAGAGGCTAATACTAAACTTGGAAAAGTATTGAAGTAGGTTTTATCGATCTGAGTTTTGTTTTTGTTTTCTTAAGTACAGTTGTTAAGGGATGTGTGAAAACTGAAGGAAGCTTTAAAGGGTTTCAAAGGTGCAGGTGAAGGTGCCAGTTGCTGTTTGGTGTCACACTCTTAGAAAGGCTTCATTACTTTATTTGATGCTGGTTGCTAAGCAGCCATTGCACAGAGCATAAGCCTGCTGGGTGCCTTGACAAGCCAGAGGCTGATGCTGCACGGCGGTTGTCATGTGAGGAAATAATGTACATGTGCTAATCGCTAAACAGGAAAAGAACCTAGAAACCAAGAAAAGGAAGATCAAAACAACGAAGAGGTTGATTGAAATAAAACTTGATCAACATAAATGTATTTTGAAACATTCCAGGAAGGTTACTTGTCAAACTTGCCTGGGGGTGTTTGTTCAAAACTTGTATTTAATAAAAGAACCACCTGACTTACAACCTTCGTTATCATTTTCTTGAAGTATTGAAAGCTAGTGGCAGTTTTAGAAATCCCTCTGAAAACGGCCGTTTCTGGCTTTGACTTTTTGTTAGGCAGGCAGTTTCAAGTGTGTGACCTTGCTGAACTGGTCTGCTCTATCAGGTAGGTAGGCCTCTGGAGGGGACCCTGGGATCAAGTCCCTTTTCCCATCACTTTTCTTCTTTATCTGGCCCAAACTCCAGACCTTCTAATAATCTGCTATCATGTTCCCCTTTCTTGCCCCTTGTTTTATACTCCTGCCATGCAAGACCTTAGCCTAGCTTACCCCAGCCACTCACCTCTGCTCCAGTGTCCAAGCTGCAGACTGCTGTTGTATTAACAACAGTCTTTAGCACGGTGCCCAGCAGTCTTTCAGCAGCTATCCCAGGCCTTGCCCTCTATCCTCAGGTTCTCTCCTGCCCTCCTCACTCCCTTCACAGTGGAGGCAAACAGACAAGAGCCTCTGCTTTCAGCCTTTCCGCCACCACCCCCTGTGTGGGAGAGGCTCCACCCTGCCCCCTCCTCAGGGCTCTTGTCCACTCTCTTCTCTACCTTCAGTTTCTCCCGAGTTCCACCTCCCCCTTTGGTTGTCTGGCATTCCTTAAAGCCGTGTTTCTTCACAGATTCGCTTTGGCTCCTGGCCTCACTTTTGGAAACTTCTCTAGCTAATGTCAAAGATTTCTACATTGCTAAATTAACTTTCCCATCTTTAATTTGGCTTCCTAGCATCTAGGGCAGTTGAATCACTCCCTTGTTGAAAAATGCTCTTGGTTGCTTGATATCTCCCGCCCTTTTTTCTCTCTCTCTCTCTTATGACTTATTTATTTGAAAGGGAGTTAGAGGCCGGTGCCGCGGCTCAATAGGCTAATCCTCTGCCTGCGGCGCTGGCACACCGGGTTCTAGTCCCGGTCGGGGCGCCGGATTCTGTCCCGGTTGCCCCTCTTCCAGGCCAGCTCTCTGCTGTGGCCCGGGAGTGCGGTGGAGGATGGCCCAGGTCCTTGGGCCCTGCACCCCATGGGAGACCAGGAGAAGCACCTGGCTCCTGGCTTCGGATCAGCGTGATGCGCCAGCCGCAGCAGCCATTGGAGGGTGAACCAACGGCAAAAGGAAGACCTTTCTGTCTCTCTGTCCACTCTGCCTGTCAAAAAATAAAAAAAAAGAAAAAAAAAGGGAGTTAAAGACAAGACAGATGTGCCATCCACAGACTCCCCAAATGGCGGCAACTGCCAGAGACTAGGCCAGGCCAAAGCCAGGAACTCCATTGTGGTCTCCCAGAGGCGGGTGGCCAAGTACTTTGGCCATCTGCTGCTGCTTTCCCGGGTGCATTGGCAGGATCAGAAGTAGAGCAGCCAGGCCTCCAACAGCTGGCACTCAACAGGGGACGCCAGCGTTGCAGGCTGTACCCCAACCTGCTGGGCCACGACGAGGGCCCCTCTTGATTCAACTTCTAATATTTCTTTCCAACTCTGAGCCTTCCACCAGTTTTACTTCTGCCCAGGCTTCCCCAAAATACATTACTTATAGTTCTGTTCTTCTCATCACATGCCACTTCTCTACATCCCATTTTCTTCCAGTCAGATTAAACAACCCTTTCGGTCCACTGTCGTGTACAGCTGTTCTTGATCATCAACTCAAGGGTCTCCTCTAGGTGGTCCTCCCAGATCAGCACCATGACACCGACGTCTCCTCTTCAGACTCCAACTCTGCCACTCCCCAGCTCTGGCCCTTTACCAACCCGTCTCCGTGGGAACTGGAAACCTAACGCACAGGCTTTCTCTAAATCCCAAAACGTCTAGCATACTGGAGGCCCTCAATAAATGCGACTTTGTCCCTCACATCTGCAAGGCTCCTGTGGGGAACTGGGGATGGGATTCCAACCCCGACACAGAACGCGGAGTAGACAGGGATTCGAAAAATCAGCTCAAGAAGAGCAATCAGCTAAACACAGTGACTTAGGGCTACTGTGGCGCCTTCTCAGTTCCCGATGTTACGTGCTTGTCCCTGGACCCTCTCTCTGCTTCTAAAACAACCGTGTTAGACCACGAGAACTTCAGCGATGCCTTCCACCGCGGGCTTCAGCTCCCTCTGAAAACCTCCGGAACAGTCCTACGCAAAAAACCGGCGGTCGGCGCCAAGAAAACGCTGGGGGCTCAGCGCGCATGCGCATTTCCCGACCTCGCCGGCCTTCCGGGCCCCCGCGCGTGGCTGCCCCAAGATATGCCTGTTTCTCCGCGGAATCCGGTTGCTTTGCACGTACACGCTAACCTCATCTTTTCAAAGACACTTTCTCCCCCGTGACTTAACAAAATAAGTGGACTGACTGTATTCCGCGAAGATGATGGGACCCCTAAATATCGTGAGTTCAGGCGCGGAAAGAGGCGACCTGACCTTGGAAATGGGACGGGGTCCTGCAGCGGGTCCTTCCGGGGGTGACATTCAGCCGGCTGTTGGCGGCGACGGACTTCCCAGCCCAGCACCATGGCCCAGTTTGTCCGTAACCTCGCGGAGAAGGCCCCGGCGCTGGTGAACGGTGAGCTCAGTGTGAGACTGCCCTTCGAGGCAGGGCCACGGGTCACGGGGAGGCCCGCGAGGGCCCTGGGGAAGAAGCGGGCTGCGATGACCCGGAGGGCCTGCGGGGGCCGCGCCGGCCAAGGGTCGCAGGCTGCAGGAGGCCGCAGGCTGGCGACTCTGGTCAGCCTCCCGCTCGCCTCGCCTGCGGCGTGGGGTCTCATTGCAACCTAGAAGTTTCCAGTCCTAACCAGGGCAGTGAGGAGAGCCCGGTAGCCCGGCAGCTGCCGCCAGGACTCCCCCTTAGGTCTCCAGAGCAGGAATGTGGCGGGGAGCGAGGTAAAGGAGGGGCAGATAACTCGTGGAAGCCCATGAATTCGGCCTCTCCGGTGGCCTGGTTCTCGGCGGAGTATGTGGAATTCTACGGGAATGTTAAGGAGTGGGTGAGGTCTCGCATGTTGGCTCTTTTCTGTCTTGGCCAGGTTCTGAGATTCCGCTTTAACCCGAGGGAAATGTTCGGTGACACTGGACTTTGTGGTTGAGTATCCGCGCCCGGGTGGGCATGGAAAGGGTTTCTGTAAACAGTAGTCTTTGTTGTTACAGATTAGCATTCCTGGGTTTTTTTCTTTTCCCGGCCTTTGGCCGGCCGGTGTTTCGGGGCCTGCTGCTGCTGCTGCTGGTTCTGTGCCCCACCCCCCCACCCCCAGCCCACAAGTGTCGGGAAGGTCTTGCAGCGCCGAGTACCGTAAACACTGGTGTATTTTTCCCTCCTGTGGAACCCGCCGCCTACTCGGGAGACACGTTACACATTTTTCCCAAGGATTTTAAGTTTGCAACTTTGACTTAACTAAGATCATCCAAGTGTCTGGTATAAAGCTCTACAGTTTTTCATAAACAAAAAGCAACAAAGAGAAGGCTTCAGTCTTCGGACCTGGTGGTTGATGTGAGGTGTATTTTTACTGTTTCAAGTGGAATTTCATAGCGTGGCCCTCACATACCTGAGGGGGTGCCTGATGAGGAATTGCAAGTCCTAATGATTACCTCCAACAAGAACAAAGTCGCTTTTGTAATGAAGTCTGTAAGCCCATTCCTTAGTGTTGAAATAACTGAAAGGTAAGTTGTTACTCTTGGGGCAGCTATCTGACTGATGGTTTGAGCCCCTGCTGCTCCCCTGCAGGTCCAGCTCCTGCTGACTCGCCTGGGAAAGCAGTGGCTAATGGACCAAGTACCTGGGTTCCTGCCACCCAGGTGGGAGACCCTGGTGGACTTCCAGGCTCCTGGCTGTGGCCTGGCCCAGACCTGACTGTTAGAGCCATTTGGAAGTGAACTGGCAGATGGAAAATCTCTCTCCTTCCCTGTGTCTCCCTCCCCCCTACCCTTGCTCTGCCTTTCCAGTAAATAAATCTTTAAAAAAGAATGGTTATTCTTCTAAAAGTTACTGTTATTCTCTCAGAAAGAAGGACTCAACCAGGGCCACACTGTTAACATGGAAATCTATTTTGCTTTGTGACATAGGTCTGTGTATTAAATGTGAACGTTAAATATTTAATAGAAGTTATTGACTGTATCTGTTAACGTGCCAGGGGACAAAGAAGGTCAAGGAAATGCAAAGAGTCGTCAGTAGACTTCTTCAGACACCAGAGTTGGATTTTCCCCCTAACAAAATTCTAGACTTTGTTTGGACTTAACCTTTTTTTTTTTTTTTCCCGTTAATCTGTTTCCGTTCCAGAATTCAAACCAGGGTACCCATTCACTTGCATTTAGCTGTCACGTTTACTCATCTCTAATCTGTGGCAGTTTTCCAGCCTGTCCTTGTCTTCATGACCTTGACCATCTTGAGATGTCCATCTAGGTATCTGCTGGGATATCTTAAAAAAAATGTTCCTCAGTCTAAACTTCTCTGGGGTTTTTCTCATGAGTAGTCTGTAGCTGTGCATTTTAGAAAGGACACTGAAGAGATGACGTGCCCTGACCACATATTGGGAGGTGGATGATAGCCACATGATGCAACATCATTAGTGATACAGCTTCATATCTCAGAGACCCAGTGTTGCATTCCAGCCTTGGCCCTTGGGAGCTCTTGCCGGTGGTACCTCTGCCCCTTTAACGTGTCTCCTTAATTTTTGGTGCTACAAGATGCTTCAGACTCATCTTGTGTTTTCCCTGCCCTGGTCTGGAATTAATCAACCACTTCCCCAAGGAGCCCTCGTTCCTTTTATTGGAGAATGGAATTTAGAAACTAAGATCTGAGTATGCCGAGTTTGTTCCTTGCTACTTAAAATAACACTGCTTTTAGGCTCTCAATGAACAGGGATATAGATGCCTGTCTATATAGGTAGTGTGTGTGGCAGTCATACTAACACAGGTATACATGTATACACATAATTACTTCTCTGTCCATCTGTGTGTATACTAAGCTAAATATGAGTTCACTGGGAGATCTCCAGTTCTAAAACCATGGGTTTATTTATCT